CTTTGTCCGAGTTCGGAGACCCCGGCCACACATATAAACCATAGGGCTCCGATTTCGGAGTCCCCGGCTGGTAGTGGTTAACACTTAAAAACAAGTTTCAAATTTAGGGTTGAAATTATTCCTTCCGTCTCGTGGTATGCATACTGAAAACAATTTCTTTAATTCAAGACTGCAAAAAGAGTTCATCATATAGGAAATTGAGTTTTATTTGAAAAGAACAGATTTCCTCTGTAATTGGAGGAGTGTGTTCATTGAAGTTTTCACTGGAGCTTGGGCTTCTATACACGCCGTAAATGAGCCATCTCATAGATAGTTTTAAATGAACCTGACTTTCCTTCTAGTGTAACACAGTGTTTTTTCTATGACTGGATTTACATTTGTCCATTCATTATCTTCAACCGCAGATATCTTCTCTTCCGAAAATCCAAACTTCCAACCAGCCAGGACAAACTCGAATCTTTCAGCGCCTTCACAGGGCTTGTCAATCGCTGCCTGGTTTCCATGGCAACAGAGTTCCCCCTTCCTCACTCCAACGATAAGATGTGGCTTGACTTCTCCTTCCACAACCAAGTGGTCGAGTTGTACATAGGGTGCCTGAAAGATGGCGATTGCTTGGATATGTACGAAAGATTTATCAATCAAATGCCGAGCAACGTTCACCTGGCTCTCAGGTAAAAGTCAACCATTTCTGTTAATTGATAATAATTGCCTTAGTTACGTAGTGCTTTCCATCACACCAATGACCTCACAGCGCCTTACAATCATCGCCCCTTCTGTCAGTCCAGGAGGCACTAGAACCTTTCAACGCTGTGGCAGTTGTTCTAATGTCGATGCTTTTATTGAACTGTTTATGTCTTTCATATTGATTTGGCGGTTATTATACTAATCTGGGTTCCAAAAGTGAGACTTTCTGTAACCCTGTCACACCTGACCCGTGTAATATGGCCAAAAAATGTTGTTTAAATTGATTTCAAAGTAGTTTTATTTGTTTGGCAGGTAATTGGCATTACTAGATAATCACTCTTAGAAATTAAGGAATGTATTCTATACTTACATGTATTGTGTGTCAGATGCGACAAGGTCACAGTTTCAAAAACATTAGATGCCAAATTTATGGAGTGCCCCATTTGTGACTTTATGTGAGCGCATTTCACAGCGTAATACTTTTGATCATTGGCTGAATTAATCTAATTTTTTCAAAGCAAATGAATGCAAATAAAATCAATTCAAATCTTTCAAAATCAGTCAAATTCAAACCCAACTGAAGACCGCTCAGTCCAACTGATCCAAGTAATTAATGAATGGGACCGGTAGCGAGGTTGGGAAAAAAAATTGAACGTAAGGCTTTGCAGCTTGATGCCACACTCCGTCATGACCACACCCGCCAAGTCCACTTTCCTTTCTGTACAGAGCCTGTCAGTTTGCCAGCAAGTCCTCACCAGATGGCCCCTGCCTCCACCGAGTCAAAGCCATAGCCACTGACATCCTGAACAAGTTCCCAGAGTGCCTGCCTTTCTGGAAAATGTAATGTTCCTAATCGTCTCCTCGGCCAAAGTACAGCATATCACTAATGGATAAACAGCTATTAAAGTTGAACCTCATTAAAATATGAGCCTTGTTAATACAACATTCTGCTTGTATTAAACAAGGACATTTGGGGGGGGGCCCATCCTTTGTTCTGCATTGTTTTCATTCTTGGTAATACCGAGTTCCTGTCATAACGTAATCTGCGAAGTCTGAAGGACTTCTTGTCAATGAGGTTACTACAGTTGCATTCAGTGCTGGTCAGTGTGTTGTCGAGCTGATATATACATTTATATATATACCTAGTACTGAAACATGCAAACTCAGACGTAGTCCTTAGCTGGGATCAGTGTTGTGTCCGAGTTCATCACAAGTCCCTCCACAAATCCCTTCACAAGGCCAGTCATAAGTTACAGGGTGAACGACAAGAGCATGCTTTTGTCACAGCTCATTTGAATAGCTTGGGAATTGGCTTAGGGCCGGCGACCATTTAGACCCGGTTTGAAAAGGGCCCCCTGGTAAGCTCACCCTGTTGCAAAAACACCTTTCATACCGGCCTGGCTACCGGCCTGGGATGCTGGACTGGTTGTTGATCTCAAACTTCTCCATCCTGGGGCATGGTGGGGGCAGGCCTTTCATCAGGGACTTTGAAATGCCGATGTGCAGACAGGCCTGATACCGGCTTGGAGTAGCCTGCATACCGGGCAGGCATTATACAGGGTGGGCTACCGGGGGGCCCTTTTCAAACCGGGTCTAAATGGTCGCCGGCCCTTAAGACTAAATGAGTTGTAATGGACTTGCAGGGCCTTGTGAGGGACTTGCAGGGCCTTGTGGGGGACTTGCTGGGCCTTGTGAGGGACTTGCAGGGCCTTGTGAGGGACTTGCAGGGCCTTGTGAGGGACTTGCAGGGCCTTGTGAGGGACTTGCAGGGCCTTGTGAGGGACTTGCAGGGCCTTGTGAGGGACTTGCAGGGCCATGTGAGGGACTTGCAGGGCCTTGTGAGGGACTTGCAGGGCCTTGTGAGGGACTTGCTGGGCCTTGTGAGGGACTTGCTGGGCCTTGTTAGGGACTTGTGATGTACTCAAATGCAACACTGGCTGGGATAATCCATGTCCCACATTGCTTTGGAATTGAGCCTCACATTAATTAAGCGTACAGTATTCAGATTTTCTTCGATATTTGATATTTGTTTGGGATATTTGTTTCATTATTTCCTATAAAATGCACAAGAATTAAAAATGTCTTTGCTCAGGATAACATCAGAGTATGAATATGCATGAGCAGGGACTGAGATATCGCCTTTATGGTTTCTAGTGGCGGTATTGGCCTTCAGTTGTTAGCCAAGCCTTTCTTTTGACACCAAATTTATGGGATACTTGGCCATAGAGACCCAAGGCTTAACAAAGCTGGGGGGGTCGGAGTTGTCCTCTGCCATATGTTTATTGCTATCATCACATTCATGTGCCAAGCCTTCATTGTGTAATATCTTGCCGTCATTTTTACGCCAATTTTCGAAAAGCTGACGCACAGGTCACCCAAAAATGTATACTTTTTCTGTTGACGTACGTGCTCAATGCATGCAGGCCGACATGCGTTAACCTGTTTACTTCGTATGACTGTATAGAAAGCAAACCAGAAGTCAGATTTAGTTGACACATCACATTTGTACTGAAAGGTGTCGTTACTTGCTTGCCAAGCTGAAAAAAGATTGGGCCAGGGACAGCCGTGTGCTACCCAGCTGTGAGATGGTCTAAAAAGGGGCTCTTTTAGGGTTTGACTTGCTTGATTCAACTGAAGTGTTGTATGCTTGTTTGAATCATTTCTTTCCATTTGCAGAATAATTGCACTGAGTCTACACCGAGGGAGATTGAAAGAAGTAAGTTTGAAACGTTGAAGTGAGTTTTGAAAAATCATTTGATGTCATAGAGTCAGAAATATACAGAGTATGTCACTTCACATCTCATGGAAGTAATTGTACATGTGTTGATGAAGCTTGGTTACAATACGGCCGGTACAAGAACCCCGATAAATGCAACCAAAATGCAACCAAAATGCAACACACTGCAACGGTAGAATTTGTTGCAATGTGCATTGTAAAGTCCGACTGCCAGACCTGCAATGTTCCCACAGTCATGGTGTCCTTGAAAGTCATAGGATTGTCGAGGAAAATGGAAAAAAGACAGGGAGTCCTGAAATTCTGTTGTCAGAAGGAAATTAAGATCATGCCAGAGTCGTTTTGGTGGGCCTCTGTTGATGTGATAATGTTAAATGTACAGGTTGTCCTTGTCAATCTATGTACAGTCGACTCTCGTTATAACAAAGCTACAGGGACCAGACAAAGTACTTTTTTAAGGAATGGAAAAACCAAAAAGTGTAAGAATTCAAGAAACGGGATTCTTAAACTTTGTTCTTTGTAATACTGTTTTGTTATAGCCGTGTTCTCTATAACGAGAGTCGACTATAGTAGTGGCTATGGCTGTGGCTGTCTCCCAGTTCATAATGCCAAACAACTTTTCTTTGCCAATGGTGTCAGGTGTAATGGAAATTGTCTGTTTTAGTCCTGGAAAGGCCTGGCAAAGTCTTGGACTTCAGTTTTCAAATTTCTATGGGAACCCTGTTCTGGCACTGCACAGTACACCATGAAGTTAATTGCTGTTAACCATCTGTATGGTAGGGCTGTGCCGAATAACCGAATATTTGATCGATCATCGAATATTCAGATCTTATTTTCTGAATTCGAATATTCGAATACAAAATTAATGAAAAGAAAAAGAACATTTTCTTTTGTTTTAAATGAGACAAATTACTCTATGGATGCTTGTTGCAAGCAGATTCAAATGAAATGTGATTGAATTCTTTCAACGATTCAAAATGTTAATTATTCATTAAATGATTTAAAAGGAATAGAAATTTTCAACAGGGCAAGAAGTATCGTTCATCTCTTCAATCTTGCTAAATCATGGCTGGAGATACTCCTAGATGTGAGAAGCTATTATACTGATTATAATGTACAATTGTGTGCGTTATTCCAACTGATTTTTATATGGTTTGTTCATTGACAATCTGCTGGTCAGTACGACAGAATATTCGGATATTCGATGGAATCGAAGGTTGAATATTCGAATAGTGAATTACTCGAATTGACTCAGCCCTACTGTATGGAATTGAGCCGAGAGAAGGGGTGCAGTCTTCTCGTTGAGCCTTTCACAAGCTGATTGCCTCCAAGTGGAGCAAACATCTGCCCCTTCCCTCTGAGCTATACCCTGCCCCCTTTTTCTCTCTCTCTTTTCTCCATAGGCCAAGACTTTGTACCGGCAAGCACTTGAAGCGGTCCCACTCGCAGCGAACCTCTGGAAAGATGTAATAATTTTCTGATCATTTTTCTTCGCTTTAGCAATCAAAATCTGCATATACGCAGTGAAAAGTGCGCAGGAATTGTCAGATTAACTGAGTACACTCAGGTACATTTTTGTTGAAAATTTCAATATTTTTCCAAGTCACAATTTGGGCAGAAGGGTGCTTTTTGACAAACTGACCTTTTGCCCATCATTTGCCAAACTTTGAACTACGCACACTTTGTGGCATTTTTTTGCCAAAACGTTTGTCAAATTTTTCCATTTATCTGATTGATACCTCCACAGTTCTTCCTGCTGGAAGTTGTGCATGACAGAAATCCTGAAGACATCCGGAAGCTTGTTCTGACATGCCGCGAGCTGAAAGTCAATATCGAGGACTACTTGAAAACAATCCTTAAATGAGCGGAAGGCTGTGGCAAAAAAGAGCTGTTTATTCTGGCTGTTGGTTTTACGTGTTTGTTGCCTTTTGATTTGTTGTCCTTTCTTCAAGACAGTCGCCACAAGAGAGTTGCCACTCTCAGAGAGAGAATCAAAAGAAATTTTTTTATCTTGTCTCTGAAAGGCAAGCAATTGATTGGAAATGTCTGTTCAACGTTCTCTGATCTGTCATATGGACTTGGCATTGTCTTTCTGGGTCTCTCTGCAGAGATGTGGGACCTGAAGATGCTTTTCGTTGATTTGCTTTTGTTGGTTTTTTTATGGTCAACTCCCTGTTCAACTCTCCTTTCCTTGGATTAGCAAACATCAAAAGGAGTGGAATTGCTTTCCTGGATGTGTAAAGACTGGTACCTGGCTGTCATGTTTGCGGCATGTTGGTGTCCTTTATACATATCCATGTAATCGGGACCAGTTTTAGATTAGTCAGTTGGGTCACCTACAGATCAAAATTTAAAGAAGCTGCTACCCTTCACGTTGAATGTCTTCTCCAGTCAGAGAGATGTATTTTTGTCATTATGTAATCTGTTGCTTATGGCTTACGCATTTCCTGACAGGCACTGTGCAGTTGGTTAATGTCATCATGAGAGTGCAAAAATCCCAAAACCACTTTTGTTGACCTGATTAATTTGAGAGTCTTATTATCCAATTGGTGAAGTTGTGTCTTGTCTATTTGAGGAACTTACGTCAGGTTCGTGGAAAGCAATAGGTTTTTGTTTGGGTGTCGTAACTAGGCCTGTTTAAAATTCATGGCATTGGAAAGATGTTTGCATTATGCAAACTGCCCCAAATATACCTTAATCCCAGGGAAGCCATTTTTATATTGTGTTCCCCGAAAAAAATGAGGTGGTGCCAGACTACTTTGGGTTCCCATGGGGTGGTGCCAGACTACTTTGGGTTCCATGGGTAGTGGCAGACTACTTTGGGTTCCCATGGGGTGGTGCCAGACTACTTTGGGTTCCATGGGTGGTGCCAGACTACTTCAGGTTCCCATGGGGTGGTGCCAGACTACTTTGGGTTCCATGGGGTGGTGCCAGACTACTTGGGGTCCCCATGGGGTGGTGCCAGACTACTTGGGGTTCCATGGCCCACTTTTGGTTTTTTTGTTAAACTGAGCTTAAGACATTTAAAATCTAATTAACCACATATTTTAAATTATTCATCAGCGTAAATGACATTACATTTGTATGGAAGTTTATTGTACTACCATTTAACACTGTTTCTTCAGTTACAACATTCTCCATCTTTTCTAGGAGTCAGCAGATCATGGTATTTGGTAGGGACGTGTGGCCTAATGTTTGTAACACCTGAACTCCCATTCATGAGGTCAGGGGTTCAGATCCAGTAATGGGCATATGCTGGGCAACAGTGGTACCCCCTGGAGATGTTTTGTTTTCAATTACCTGTTTGCCCTCTGAATTGGCAGCGTTGAGCTGTACTTGTTCTAGAGCAAGAATATTTTGGATGTTTGGTTTAGTCTTCCATTATTTTCTTCCAACTGACAAGCTAAAACAGATTTTCCTAGCTGTGTTCAGAGGTTGCGAGATTGTTAGGGGCTTTTTCAGCTGTGATTGTCAACGGTGAGTCAGCGTTGTTGGACCAGTGGTGCGACATATTTTGTCATATAAACCACTTTTGTCTCTTGTCAGTCTTCATATGCCAAACCAATTTGTTTACATGGTCCAAGTCCATTTGTGTCAGTTTATCATGTCATTAGCTAGGAGTCTTCACTCTGGAGATGCTTTCTTGAAAACTACGTATTGTGGTCCCCTTTTTGCTAAAACGTGTGGCAGATGTGCTGTTTGCAAGATGTTGTAGGACTGAAATCCAGTGGAATGGCTGTGGTTTCTCTCTCGGTTTGGGTTTGGCGTCCTGTCGCAGATGAGATTTTTGTTTCAGTTTGATCAGAATGGTGGATGAGTTTCAGGTTGTCTTGAATTCAGTGTCGGACCACTAGGAGTGATGTTCAAATTTTGTATGGCTCTGTCACGAAAATGTAGCTTTTTGAGTATTGGCCGGTCTGTTTTTGATAACAAAATAGGCTATTAACTGCGGATTAATTTTTGTGAAGTTGCCATAATGATAACTGCCAAAACTACGAGGCAAGTTTCAGATTTGGCAGTTTTGGTGGTTCGTTGTGGAAAGTTGTACAGCCAATCACAGCCAGCGAAAGCTGTGAGGTCATCGCAAACGCCAGAGGAGCCGACATCCCTGGAGTTGGAGTCGTCATGCCAGCGAATCATCATGCAAGAAACGATGATGTCATCATCATTGACCTGTGAGGAGACCCATTTATACCCAGACTCAGAAGTAGCACCCAACTAATGTGGCTGTACAATTAATCAAATGCATATTCAGTTTCTCACAGCCAATCATATGACAAAAGAAGGAGCTCATGCATATGCAGAGAAGTATTGTGGTCTTCAGTCCTTCACAGAAGCAAGACATCAAAGTTGAATAACAGTTTCACAAATGAAGCAAACGGGACAAATCATTCACAATCATCACAACAAAAAGCAGTAAAACTGATAAACTGAATGAGAGAAAGCGGGAGAAGCTTTAGCCACTGTCATGATTCCACCAATCAGCTTCCTTGAAGGTTCACCATGGCAACCAAGAAACATGAATTGAGTAAGTATACAGTAATACACTGTCATGCATTTTTTGGCTCCCATGTCTTTTTTTCACATTTTGTCCATTGTTTTTTGTGAGTGATGCCCCTTCAAAAAGTTCAGATTGTACGTTGTTTTGAGTGCTGCATGGGCAGTCCATGTTTTGTCAAAAGTAACCGACTATTCATCTCTGTTGCATTTTCCTAGTCAAGAAAAGGACAAAGATGTTAAAAACAAAAAACGTTTCCCAACAAGAATTTGTGGCACTGACGAAACTGGAGCCAAATTTTGCATGGATCCCGTTCTTTGAATGTGTGTCTGTGTTTTCATATGGGGTTTATTCTTTTATGGAATATTCCATTTGGGGGGATGGGGGTGTCCAACGTCACTGTGGGGAGGGGGGAAGACAACTATACATTCAACCTGTTGAAATGGATGTTCTTGCCTGAATCTCTTTTGGGGGTGAATAAAGACTTTACATGGTAGCCATCTTGCAGGCCAGGGTCTCTTGTTTCATAGGGAAACCTCCTGTGTGCATATCCTGTGTAACAAAAGCACTGGCCTGCAAGACGGAAGCCACGCATACCCTATATTGGCCAACTTGGCCAACTTCTTCGGTCGAAATATCCTGTGCATTTAGGAATTACTACTTTGTAGACTGAGTTTCCTAAGAGTAGTGACCGTAAATTTTTCTGTTACAAATGCCGTAGTTGTGTAAAAGACTCCGAATTGCATCTGAGAATGGAGTTGGTTTACATTTGTACTTTGATTTCGGAGTTGGAATTGACCAGCAGGCATGTTGCTGACATTGGCCAGCAAATCCAGACAAGCAACCCTGCCCAACGGCTGTTTGAAACTGCCTAACTCGCAGTCTGTCGATTGCTGTGAATATTCCAATGGCATGAATCAAAACTGTGGCCCAGAATGTCTTGTGCTGACTCGGCAGTCAGAGTTCAGCCATTTTGAAAGCACTTTCTCACTCATACTGGTATGCTGCTGTCATCACCGTTTACTTTTAATAAAAAAAAAAGGCATGTCAGGGTGTAACATAAGGTAATCTGTTCCTCAGCCCAAGTGTACATCCCTCAGTCGTTTTTTTGCCTAACATCACAGCAAACAATGAAAGTCAAATCATGCCCTACGCACACTGCAGCATCCTTCTGTGTTTCGGTCGCCTGTCTTCAGAGTTGCCGGTAGCTTCATTCTGGATGCAAGTTGGAACTGTAAAGCTGCAGACGTTTGACTAGCAAGTAAAAATGTGTAAATGATGCACCCATCACACTGGAATCGCACCAATTTTGGCTTTGTCCAAACTGCATTTAGTGTTTCCCAAATCCCAAGTTTGTTTACCTGAAAAGCTGAATGACGCAAACTGGGAAGTTGGAGCAATGTAGAGCTGTGATGGTTTCCAAGATGCCAGATACCGGTTCATGTACCTGCAAAATGGCTGATACCTGATGCCATCTATCCATAATGTAAACTGTATTAACCAAAGCAGGCAGCCAAACAGTTATTACTTAGAAACATGCATCAAATCAGATTTACGTCAGTTTTAAAGATCACAGTTTCTGCAGTCATTTGATGAGATGGAAAGTGGTTTAATACCCATCTAAAATAAAACTTGGACATTTGTGAAAGCCCCTGCATCAGGATTGAAATTGACAGCATGTTGGTAAAATGACCAGTGCATAAATTTATGAACCAGTATGCGAGGCACAAAACCTGCACTTCCTTCCGATATTCCAGGTTTGCAGAAATCAAAACCAACCACTGGTATGTTTTCTCCCACATGTGATTTTAGTGTGATGGGTCACATGTTTAGGTATTTGGAATGGAATCAGCTGTACACTTTAACTATTGAGGATGTTTTAATGCCAAAAATGAAGGGTGTAGCAAGCAGAGCTAGGCTTAACGAGTTGATGCTGTGTCTCGGACGGGCAGTTCCCAGCAAGTGATTTGAACGAGACCAAGCCAAGGAAGAAGCCACTGGATAAACGTGAAAGTTTCAACAGCAGAAAGTTGATCTGTACTCCAAAAACTCCACCCAGCTTGGTATAACTTGAGATGTTACGGGAGGCAAGGCGGAAATGTGAAACACCAGTCTGATCTGGCACTGAACCATCCTCGTTAGTCTAGTTCCCCGTTCTCTATTCATGGAATGAACACCCCATCTCCGAGAGGCTCCTGATGATCGGTCATTACCATGCCTGTGGAACAGTGGTCCCATGAGCCTGCCCGTGAAGTAGAGTGCTGTCTGAGTACAACATGACCACATCCCTGAAGTGACCGAGAGCCGTCATTTGTAAGCATGATCAGTAAAGATACAAGAAGGTCTCACAGTGAAACCAGAGGCTTCTGTGCTTAGTCAACCAACAAGTTCACAGAACACACTGATGCTGAAGAAGTCACCCAATCCTACCCACCCAATCTCGATCTTAAAACTCTCCCAGTGTCATTTTAGAACACCCTCCCCCCCCAAAAAAAAACATGTTCCCCAGTTGTAAAAGTCACCTCTTCACTTTCCAATTTCAACAACATTGGTTACCCCCATGTTATCGTGTCCCTAAACATCGCCGAATACGATTGCGTCACAACATCGACCAACGAAGTGACGATTGCAGTTGCTTCGTGACCAAGCAACAGAGCCTCGTTGGGATGAAAAAGAATTATGATGGAGTGGATGCAGTTGGAAAGCTGAAACTTCACGTTGTCTGACGAGTTGAAGAAACCAACGAGGGTGTGAATTCCTCCACGTATGAAGGCCACTCCCTGACCACGTAATGTTCTTTAGCTACATGAGTTTTAAGCACTATACTGTTCTTGTAGTGAACACTCCAAGAAGCTGAATCTTGTAAATACAACCCAAATGCATAAAATTGAAAGTTCCATTTCTCCTCAATTGTGCACGTCTAAAACAGGCACATGTACACATCCCAGGCCATCAAGGGAACCCCTTTAATGCTGATTTTAAACCAGTCAACTCTGATTGCTTGTCTGCTCCTTACTCTGTCTTGCAAGCATGCAATGTAAACAAACACGAGAAATGTTTTCGTCAATTCATGGAATGTAATATTTTGATGACAAGCCTTTTCTTATTAGACTGCATCTTTATGGATTTGCAGTACATTTCAAAATAGACCTGAGTTTGGCTCTGGCTTTGTGCTTGTATTTGGGGAATGTTTTGGGCAGGTGAAAGTACATGTAGTTACGTTGTAACTCCCGCTAATTGATCACATTTTTCTTCCCTTTTCCATTAGATTCTCTTGAAAATGGTGCTCTGCCAATTTGGCATTTTGATTCATTTGCAAAGTATTTAAAATGTATGCAAGAAAAATTAGTAGTGCCAGCTATTCAGGCTTTTTTTTTTCAGTGAATAAACAAGTGCATTCAAGACTGTAAGATGTTTATTGAAGCAATATATTGTTAGAATGATGATCTACATGTATTTAACGCTATTTCAACATTAACCTAAATGCTGTTATTCTAATACTTTCATTGACGTTCTTCTTGATAATTGTTTTCTCTTCGTTTGGCTTTAAATATGAATGGAGGGACTGGATTTCATGCACTTTAATAGACTTTATAGGTAATGTAGATATCTGTAGGTACAGCAACATGTTTTAGAAACCTTTTCTTTGAAATAAGTCTTAACCCTCCAAATTCCTACAAAACCCTCCAATATCCATTAAAAGATTATGCAAGATGTTTTCAGGCTGTAGGAAGATATTGCCCCGGCTGTTGTTGCTTTGTGATAAAGCTAAAGTGTACAGAATGTACCACTGAGTTCCAGCAAAATGGCCCTGGATTTTGGAGGATTCCGAAAAGATCCTTGGAGAAATGCCAAAGATGTCAGGGCTAAGTAATGTTAATGAACGTGTCACTGTTTCAACCTTTTGGCATTTGATAAAGATACGGACGCCACATGGTTCATGAAAAAGAGAAAGAAAAGAAAAAAACAAAACTATGTAAACATTTGACTAACCTCTCTAGGGATGCTGAAGGTCATTTGGTTTGAAAGGAGACTTCTGTTATTAATGAAGTTACTCGTTTTTCTGTTTTTTTAAAATTGGAATTCACTCGGCATTGATATTTGTGGACTCTAAAATTATAACTGCATTGATAAATATTCCTTAAACTGATGAAAACAAAAGATACCAATTCCAAAGAGTTATTCTAAGGATTTTTAACCAAACCTAGATCAGTGATAGTTTTCATCGTAAAGATTATTTCCAATTTGTTTTCACTGCTAGCATCTCCCTTCCTGTAGTTATTCATAGCCTTTTGTAATATCCAAAGCTGATTTCTATTTATAAGTGCATGTTCAGTATAGCCATTTGTGATAAGTATTTTTAAGATCCTTCAGATGAACTGTCCAAATGTCAAGCGTACAGTGACGTTTTGTAGTAAGCACATACATGTACATGTACGTTTGTTCATGTGTAGTCGTGGCTGTGTTTGTAGCGTAGGCTTGTCATGGAATACAGTGTCCAATTTATGCCATTGACTGATCCAAGTTTTTAGCTTTCCACTGTGAACAAAGTGTGCTCCAATCTTAAGCTCCAAGCAGCTTTATGAAAACTATGCTTTATAATATGTACAGTGTAGTGCAGCGTGTCTGTTCTTCGTCTCAGTCTCCCAAGCTTGCATTTAGAATTGTACAATTATTTTACATGTTATAGGTGTGTGTTTCGACACAAGAAGATGGCAACTTGAGTTGCCATCTGATTTTGTCCGGAAGCGCACTGCATGAACTGTTCATGAATTGCACAAGAGCTAGTACCCCTACGGTCCACTCTAATTTAACGGCTTGTTCGGGGAAGTTTGGAGGCAATTTCTAAAAGATGCATGTTGGGGGGGTTTGCTTCTGAAAAGCACGCCCCAATCGCACCTGCACATTTCACCTCGCATGCATGGCATTTGACATTTTCAGTAACGAGACATCAGGAGCGAGTATATATTCACGTAAGAGCAGCGTTAAAATTCCGCCTCATGAACTCTTGCCTGTACACAGAATGCCTAGTTTACATGTAAACGCCTGCATATATTATTAGTAATGCGGTGGTTGATTTTTGGAAACCGACAGATATCTCACTCTCTCCGTCAGGCCTTTTCAGTAATTCTTCCCCTTTTCTGCTTTTATTTCCAGTACCGAAGTAAGAAAATGCTTTCTGTTCATGTATAAATTATACATTATTTTGTTATCGCACATTTTTTGGTACCATTTGTACAAAATATATATGAGAGAGAAAGTATACATTTGTCATCGTGAATTTATAAAAAGTTTTCCAAAGTGTGTGTGTCAGGCCAAAGAAATTGATTTCTTTTAATCTAAATTCAAAATAAGTTGTCAGAGTGGCACGGCATGTCAAAAAAATAAAATAATTTTTTTTTCCAATTTAGCACTTTCATCCCTTTTAGAAAGGGAACCCGGTACATGCACAGTCGAACCTCGTCAGTCAGAGGTCCTTCGGACTTGGTGAATTAAACAGGGACCTTGTATTATCAGGAATGAAACCAATGAAAAACAAAGAAATGGGAGTTGAAAAATTTCTTCGTTATAAGGCCAATCTTGTATTAACAAGGCTCTTACTAACGAAGTTCGACTGTACATGTAAACATCCTAGACAACTTACATGTTAACCCCTTAACGCCGGGATTCTTTTGACCGTGACTGCTGGGCCGCGGTATGCCCAGTTTGCAAAGCTCTGTCCAGCAGCAGGCCCCATTGAACCAGCAGCTTCATGGTGGATAGACTGTATGTGTGGTTTGCACTAATCATCACACAAAGCCACGGCTGTAGATAGCTCCGGTATGAAGGGGTTAAACGTCCATAAAACATAACATGTTATTCCGATATTAAGGCATATGACTGAAAAAAAGAAAGAAGGCTCACACAAAATTGTGTTTATACAAGAAATTTGTGTTTTGGACAAAATTCAATTAAAATCATACCCTTGTATTCTATTTTGATAAAGATCCCACCGGCATTTCCATACTGTGCAAGTAGTCAGAGATATCTATCATGCAGTACAGGCAAACTGATCATTTACTGATCTGGGCAAAAGAAGTTCAAAGAATTCCAGATTGAATTTGCTTGATTCTGAACAAAAATGGCCTAAATTAACTTTCAACCAGACATGTCAGAAATGGCTGTTGAAGAAAAGTCACTGGAAGTTCAGAGAAGGTGATTCCAAACGGCACAACAGTAGTCGCGCTATTAAAGCGTCAACAAGCATCAACAGGCACAAGTAGTATCAACAAAGCGTCCACAACTTTAAAATATCCCCTGAAGATTTAAAAGTGGTTTAAATCACGTTTCTAACAGCTACCACTGTGTGTAGAGAAAAACAGCGAATTTGCTTCGGAAATGCAGCTTTTTCACGTCCATGGGAAAACAAGATGGCAGCTGGCCGGGCTGCACTAGCAGGCCCGACTTAGTCCCTCGAATTTTGAATAATGTAATACATTAAATATGATATGTAAATGTAAAATATTTCCATAAATACCGGTATGCTTGAATAACTTGTTGACACTTTGTCGTCGCTTGTTGACGCTAAATAGCATGACCCCACGAGACTTTTACTTAACATTTCTTCAATTTGTGATGGCCGACCAAAGAGGGATAACTTCTAATGGTCATTTTTTCCGACACGTTGACAGCGTAGCCTCACAGGAGATCAATTATTTGATCTGGATGCTCTTGATGACGCCAGCCCTGATGCCCGATATCTCACCACCGTAACGAGTCAACTCTTTCCTCACCTCACGGACCTGAAGAATGAGGAAGAAAACAGATTGCAAAGTTCTTAAAAAAATGTAGAACCAACGACGAGACAAAGTGTCGGAGCAACTGTAACAAAATCTGTCGCGAGACAATCTGGCTCACCCGACTGATGCTTGTCTAGGATTTCCTTGACATGAAACAACTAAGATTTCCTCCCCGACCCCCCCAAAAAACCAGCAGACCATCCAGTGTTGTCCCCTGCTAATGCTGAGACCACTTCAAAGTCTTTTTTTGGAGGGGCAAATGGGGGTAAGTGGCATGCCCATGGACATAACCTTTGGCCAGTGCATTTATTTGGACTCTAACCCCTGATACTTTGATCGCAAGTCACAGACTTTGATTATGTTGACCACTAAGCCACACTCCTACTGTAACTCAGCACACTGACTAAAAAAGTCCAAAGTTCACAGACATCGGAAATATTTTGGAAATGCTCCCCTCTGAACCAGATTTTAATGCTTTTTTCCTGGGTTGAAATTTCAACCAGGTGCCCCCAAAATACTTCAATTTGCTACGGATAACTACACTAACAATTCCTCCTTATTGAGTCATTTTCAAAAACCAATTTTGTGAAATCCTTGTGCAGCCCTTTAGACCTTCAGAATTTCCCAGTAGAGACCTGTTCACCCTACTGACCTCGGACTCCACAAGGCGCCGTATTTCAAAACTACAGACAGCAGTTCGTTTGGAACATACTGGCTGACAAGAACTTTTATCATCAACTTTGTTGGTACCCTGTACAACACTTTCATCCCAAATGGCAGATTTTCAGAAATTAATCTCCACCCTGCGTCTGAGCAGTTGGAGTACCACACGGATTCTTGGCTCACCTGCCCCTTGCGCCTGACTTTGGCTTTCTTGAACTTCATCCTATGCTTGACCCGTGGGTTCCGCTGCTCTTTCTTGCGGCGGGGCGTTAGGCCTTTGTTCTTGGAAATCTGCAGAATTTCAACGTGAAATGAACAAAACTGTTTCCAGAGCAGATAAAAATCAATTTACACATCTGCTAAGAATCTGTGTTGTGTAGATAGAGCTGGGCTTTCTTCACCTTTTTAACAGTTCAGTTTTAACAGTACCAATGCTCATATGACTTGCAAGCGGATCCTTGTGTGCGCACCTCGTGAACAGCAAAATGGCAACTGCCACATCATGTTGAATAAGCCAATGAGAGTTCAGCTTTCCATCAAGAATATGTATGAGGTACAGTACTTTCAACCGCATGTTGAATGGACCAGTGAGAGTTCAGCTCGCCATCATGAATATGTATAACGTATGGTAATACATGTACCATCTACTGGTACTTTCAACCTTGTCCCCTTGTGTCAGAAGTGTTCCAGTGGCATCTACTTTGAACACCCTACCTCCAGACCCTTCGTGTTAAATATTTTGTACCACCAACAGTACTTTGAACAGTAACTTTTGCATATGTATATAAGCCAAGAGAACAATAACCCCCGGCAGACTACTCCATCCAAGCACTCCAACAAATTTCTTATTGGATTTTGAAGGGTCAAGGAGGGTTAGGGTACAAACTGTATCATCTCTGACCTCGTAGGTGATGGCCCTCTTGCCGTCTTCTGCCTCTTCGCCTTCCTCGTCCCCAGCTTCTTCTTGGCTCTCCATATCCCTGTTTATGTCAAAGTAGGTCACATAAAATGAGTCTGAGGACTCCTTTCTCCATAATTTGGTTTGTCTCAGGAACAGAAAACTGAGCTCTCTGTTTTGGTGTATCACTGGGTTTGAGATACCGATGACAAATATACTTTGTGCGAGAGAAATTAAAGGGCTTTGAATTCTGCATGATTTTTTATAACGTTCTCAACTCAAAAGTAGCTCTTTGATTTGCGACTCATTTGGCGGATCACAAACTCTCAATATTATGGGGATGTTTCCACATACAAAGGTTAACTCAAAAGTCAACATTTGGATTCTATGGGAATCCCAAAAGAGCTTATTGGCTTATTCCCATCAAGACGGACCACATGGAATCCAAGAACCACTGCACAATGCTCCAGTAGGACCACAGGAGATCTTACGAGATCATAGGACACCCCATGGAAACCACAGAGTGTCCTACGTAGTTTGCAAAGCATACAAGCAGAACCACAAAGGGCCCAAGGCAGGCACTTGAAGGGTTTGCTGGGACTATATAGGGCATCACAGCTGACCATACGAGATTCAACAGGCACCGGTACCACAGGGGACCAACTGGGCCAATATCAGGTACACTGGGTGCCAGACGGGGGACGATACTGTCTAATAAGTCTCTGTGGGAGCCAAGTTTACAATGTGAAAGGGTTCACCAGAATCCACAGAGGTATAACGAGGTAGATCCAAGTGTAGCCCAGGATGTCAGAGAGGGATCCTACGGGTTTGAAAGGATCCAATATGATTGACTGTGATGGGTTTTTCAATGAGTATCTCCTGATACAAAAGCTGCGTCGAAATTTGTGGGTCTGTTATTCTTTGGAGAAAAAACCCAGATGAAAACAGAATTACAACATAATTAAAAACAGGTCTCACTTTGCTTGTCTCTTCCGCTCCAATCTTCTCTCCTGCACCTCTTTGGCAATCTTCTCGTAGTACTCCAGCGCTCTCTGCTCCTCGTCGGGTGTCATCCCGGTACCGGGTGAACGGTTTGCTGCCGGGTCTTGGGTAGTCTTTTCAGCGGCCTTCGCTCCGCGGCCATTCGAAGAGGATGCTTCATGGCGGCCTTTCTTCGCCTTGACGCCGGCTTTGATTCTGGTGGTCCGTGTCAACGTTGCATCGTCGTCACTGTCAATGCCATCCTTGTCACTGCTGGCATTCTCGTCACTGCTGTCGGGTGCTGGGGAGACACATGGTTTTGAAATCCCAGGAAAAAAATGGGACACAACCGAAATTAACCCCGGCATTTACAGATTGTTCAAAATAATCCCGTTTGAGGTTTTTTAGTGGATTTTGCAGGATTGAGGAAGGCAAAGCCCAGCTAGTATTACATTTATATACTGATACTCATGCCCCTTGAAAGTTCTGTGCCCAGAGAAAGTCCAAATTGGTTTACACTACAGTGGCCAATTATCCACGATTCAGGAATATTCACATCAAAAATGTCGAGGGCATTAAGGTCAATACTGGTCAACACCGTGAGCAATGACTCTCATTAGCAGTTTAATGTTAGCTTTACACTGCTGGCATTATAACTATAGTCCTACTGAACAATCTTGCTCTTAGATCCCATAGTGAATGACACGATGAGGGTGCAACAACAGTTGACCCGTTGGATCTACACTGAGCAAGCTTCTCACTTAAACAGCACCAGTTTAGGTTGTGGTCCTCCAGTGAAGAACCGAGATAAGCTGAAGGATTATTAGATGAAGAGAACCGATGTTCTTTACCGATGACATCATCAGTCTGTTGTTTTTCAAGAAGTTCTTGGATCTCCAATTCCAGTTGCTGGTCCAACGGTTCCAGTTCCTTAATTAGCTGAGGTTAAAAATCGAATCCAAAATGTCTGGGTCATTACGGTCGTTATACAAATTTCGTGCGTTATGATTGGCCAACGCGTTGCAAACTCTAGATGGCGCACTATTTTGAATCGCCTTTATTCCATCAAGTAAAACTATTAGCCTACAGAATATTTGCTTAAAAAACAAAAAATGGTTACCGGCAAAAAGGTCAGGCATCACTCAGTTATCACTAACTCATTCCCGGCTCCATTGTTTGCTTGGAACCAAATTTTTTAAAGCCACGAGTATGATCTTATCAATAGGCTTTGCATCTGGGATCATAGCATCACTGACTACTTGTAGTATCTGCTCTTGTAGTGGACTCGAGCCAGCAACCCAGATCCCAGAGAGCTCGGTGGTCGAGTGGTTCAGACATCTTCACTTGCAAACAGGAAGTCTGTGATTCGAATGCGACTGAGTAAGCTGGTGATATTTTGCAATACGGACACAATTCATAATAGTGCGCCTCCAAGAGTTTGCAACGTGCTGGCCAATCACAGTGTGCAAAATCTGTCGACCCTTTCTAAACACGCATTGGGTCGACAAATTTCACGCACTGTGATTGGTCAACGCATTCTTGGACCACACTGAGAATAAAGTGCAACTATTCCAGTGTGGGGCCAAACCACGAGTACAAGGCATTTCCTTTGTCTTTTGAGACTTTTATCTGACAAGAGCCATCACATGCAACACAAGGGCAAGGATAAGAAAAACACGGAAGGGTGGAAACAGACCAGACAGCATCCTACTAACCTTTTTGTGAGCCAATATTCTGGTGATGACAGGGTGATTGTGAACAGGGACGTGCTTGGCTTTGAGCGTCATGTAGAAACTGATGTTGACGCAGTAGCTGTTTAGGAAATGATTAAACAAGCTGGCTTACACGCTGCTTATACATTGTTGGTAAGAAAAAGCGAAATCGCTTTATCCCAATTCATGACCTAGCGATTCCCACTAGCACTGAACCGTATAATTTGTGTCTAAGATATGCCATGTCCATCAGCCGAGACTTGCTTTGCCATCACTGAAAATATGCCTCAACCAACTGTGCTTTATAACACACTGAAATCTAATTGAAACTCATGGACCATTGAAAAGGTCAATCAACATTCAAATGGTGTTAGGTTGCTGCCATTGTGACCCACCATTCAAAACGGGTGAAGACAGACCCACATTCAAAAAATTGTCTGCAGAAAGCTTTAAAGTTTAGTATAAACCAGGCTATGAAATATGTGGAATTTGCATTCCGCATTGTCTATATTGGTATCATTTTCCAATTAATACATGAGTAGTATTTCGGGATGTCGCATTTTGCAGGTTTCCCATTTTTGCTTTATTGCATTCTGTTATTCAGTAGGGTTCACATGGCAGGTGTGTTGCATTCTGTTGCATTTAGCTGGGTTCACGTGGAAGGTGTGTTGCATTCTGTTGCATTTAGCTGGGTTCACATGGCAGGTGTGATGTATTCTGTTGCATTCAGCAGGGTTCTCATTTCAGCTGTGTTGCTTTCTGTTGCATTCAGATTGTTTCTTATTTCAGCTGTGTCGCAGTTAGCATGGCTGCCTAGAGGGAACCCTATGGGAGTTAAATCCGACTTACTTGATGTACAGCCTGTATTTAGTGCTGATGTAGTCGGCTCCTGGGCCCTGTGGTATTCTACCATCTTTCACCATGCCCAGGAGAGGGTGTAATGTGTTGATCACCTCCTTCAACTGCAGGTGTTAAAAGAACACATTGTTCCAATTGGGTTTTGTTTTTTTAAATGCAGGTTTCCAAGTTGTGAATAAAGGAAAAGACAGGACGAGAATGGATGCCGAGCACATATTTATTCCCATTCATAAATACCTTTTTGAGTCAAAACAAGTTTCAAAAATTATAAATTTCCAACGATTTTGATCAACATGTTTTTGCTTAAGTTTGTTTAAACACCCCTCTAGCCATCTGATGGTATATTCCTCTTGCAAGTAGTCACAAATAATCTTATTACATGAAGACTGGCGCAAGCATGGTGCATACTGCATGAGGTGGCATGCAGCCAGCACTGTCATCTTATGTCAGCACAGCTAATAACCTATGTCATGGGTTTTTTAAATTGTTCCTGTGGGGCTTCCATGGAAGCATCTTGTTTAACCACTTCCTGCCGGGGACTCCGGAATCGGAGACGTACATGTATGGTTTATATGTGTAGCCGGGGTCTCCGAACTCAGATAAAGGAAACAGGGCTCTGTAACCAAAGACCATACTCCGAACAAAAGACCAGGCTGCTGGGCATTACCGGCATTTTTCACTCTCAAAAGTGGTGATAATCCAGCGTTATTTTGAAACCGTATACCAGGGTTTGGGGCATTTAGAGCAAGCGGATTACCACCGGGGACAAAAGTGCTCCACCACCGCAGTGATGAGCCACACAGCACCACTGCACGCTAATCTGGCCCCTATTGAAAAGAGGTCAGCAGTGCACTAAGCCGGGTTCGTGAACAAAAGACAGTTATACAACACCGCACAATCTGGGCTCTGTTTACAAGGCGGCTGGCCTGGCTGAAATACTCAGGCGTCAATGAAGGTCACCTGTCAACTTAGAGTAGTGCCTAAAGATTACTTGGTACGGCTATAAACGACCGTTAAATGAAATCATGAATTTTTGAAGGATTTTGAAAACGGAAAAAATTATAGTCATGCCGGCCCAGCATCATCAACATTGAAACATGCCTCGGTATGAAGTGGTTAATGTGGTTATGAAGTGACCGGATTTGTTTAAAAAGGAAATTCAATACAGTGTTTGCAACTGGGGTCTTAAAAATCATTATTGTGCTATCCTGGATTTAGACACAAAATTCTGTATAACCTCTTCTTGTTTCTTACAGTAGACCTGTGAATGCCTACCTTTGTCTTGAAGTCTCCGACAAGTTCAAGAAATTCTGGAGATTCCTTTTTCAGAATCTACACAAAACAGAAGTAGGAAGTCAGTGCAAAATTGAACAAATTCAGCAACATGGCTTCACATTTGCAAATGTAGAAAGTTGTCTTACAAAAGCATGGAGGTATTTGTTGATTTGTTGAGAATTTTGGAGATCCACGGGGCATGTATTTTACCCCAAGAACAATGCGAAATCGGAGCTTCTTTGAATCACAAAACAAGCAGACAACTAGACAGACTGACATCTTGCCTCACCTCCATTTTCTCTCGCTTGGAGAGTTTACTCAGGTCCTTCACTACTTTCTCCTCTGCCTCTTCACCCAAATCAGTGGCTTTCTTCTCTTTGGCTTTTACTGAAACCTTTTACGACACAGAGACAGTGGAAAGTTAAATGTGGTTTTGACAATGCAAATCAAACATGCAGCAAATTAAAGGCTCATGGTTATATAATAAAAAATTAGTCACTGAAGAGAAAATTGACAAAACATGAAATGTGATTTTACATGTGCATCAGTTGATAATTACTGTTCCATACTGCTGCAGTGCTGCATAACGCCAAGGATTACATTTATCTAGCAACAAAATCCATGGTTGCATAGTAGTCAGTGGACGGTAATCAGCTGGTGAGATACAACAGGGACTCTACTTTGGCTGTGCTGCTCTTTGTTGCACTGAACATGGTTCTCATTTCATTTCTGTTGCATTCTGTTGCACTCCGCAGGGTAATCATTTAAACCTGTGTTGCATTTTGTTACATATTCTCATGAGCTGAAAAAAGCCCTCCCAATTAGCAGCTTGTGCGCTTCTGCCACCAGGGAGCAGAGTTACGGCCAGAGTTTATACCTGGAAGAGCTGCATGTCAAAATCTGTCTCCTGCATCATCTGTGACATCCTTTTCTGGATGGCAAGGGCTTCCTTCTCCTCTTCAAATGCTTCTTCATCCTCGGACCCGCTGGCACCTAAGAAATATTACAACCCTGAATCACTTGGTTGTATTCAGCTGTGTGCTTAACACAGCTACGCAACATGTTGTTGCAGTGTGCAAGACTCTCACTTAATTTTGCTGCATTTTGTTGCACTTTTGTTGTAATTTGGTTGCATTTTTGTTGAGACAGGCACATGATTCAGAAGTGCACATACAAAGAGTCAGGAGTCAACGCACAACTAACAGACAAATGGGCAGAAAAAGAATGCCTTTTCTGTACTTCGTAACAAAACCAATAAGTCAGCTCTGAGTAAGTGGAAAACTGACCAGCATACGATTTTGAATTTTTAAAATCCACTACCAGTACCATATCAAGTATTTAAATTCGGCATTCTCACCGGGCATATCATCATCCACATAATCGGTGTGGTAGTACTCTTTCTTCCCCTTGCCCCAGGATTTGGCATCGGGGAGCCCCGTCTCCTCTCCCGGCTCCTCCCTGCCCTCCTCCTCATCTTCCAAGTCGCTGGCAATCTCATCCAGGTGCTGCTGGGTCCGGATGCGGCGAAGCTTCTCATCAATGTCGTCATCGTCCGAGTCTGAATAGTCCAAAGGAAGTATCTCTTCCTGCCCGCCCCAAAAAGATACAGTTCATTAAATAAGGCTAAACTCTGGTGCTCAAGGCACTGATGTGTGTCACTCACTGGGCCCGTCCAACATCCCTGAGACCCATCTCAGCTCCCTAGGGAGTCCACAGCTCCATGCCAAGCACTGTTTCTGTCAGAAATGGCTCATCGTACATAACCCTCTCTATCCTCACGGGCATCAGCATATACAGTGGAACACAGTTACAACAAGGTCCTTGGGCAAGTTGGGACTTTACAAATTTCCTTGTTATAATAGTTACCTTGTATTATCAGTTATGGAAACAAAGAAAAACAACGACTTGGGACCTAAAACTATCCTTGTTATAAATGTGACTTTGCATTAACAGTGCTCTTCTTATGTGTGTTTGACTGTATACCCTAGGATGGAGAGACACAAGCGGCTGGATTGGAGCCTAAAACAATAATATGGCATTTATGAGGTACACAGTATCTCAGAGTATCTGTAATACAAAGGTGTTGATGTACATGTATTATCATTATCCCTGCACATTGGGCTCACAACATCTGAACAATTCCTGAGGCCATCTCAGCTCCCTGGGGAGTGTACTAGCCCAGTACTGACGTATCAAGTGCACAGAAAGAAACACAATAACCATATCTATGGGGGCATAAAAGTGACTTGCCTAAGATCACAACATGCTGCCACCAGCTGGATTCGAACTCCCCACCCCAATGATCAGAGGCTACAAACCCTGACTACTAGGCAGTGCAGCGCCAAAATAGTTAAACCAGCTTCTCTTTCTGGGTGTGTCAGCTTGAGACCTCTCTATCATCTACCGACCTGATTCTCTGAGTCGCTCTCTCCATCTAGCCTCCCGTCTCTCTCCAGGAGGATCTTGTCTCTGTTCTCATTGAACTCGTCTACCTCGTCCATGAAGTAGTCTGGTGCCGTGGGGTCCGGCACAGGCATCTTCTTGTAGGCTCGTTCATCGTCGCTGTCATAGTCCGACTCCTCTCCCTTGCGATTATGAACTCTCTTCCTGTTCAAGTTTAAAATGAAGCACAGTTAAAGAAAAATAATGCTTACCATCCCCACCCTACCTTTTTGGAGGCTATCTGCAGATTTCATTCTATTTTTAACGACTGAAAAAAATCTTGTGAGACATAGGACTTAGTTTTTTTTTAATGTCCTATCCCTAAAAATAAAATACTTGACAGTTGGAATAGGTAATTTCAAACTTTTTATATTATACTTTTCACATTATGCACCATGGTCACACGTATCTCTAACATCTGAACATGCCTTCATAACAAACTGTTGGCCTACATGTATGCCTACATCTCCGACTTGATTTCCCTTTTTCAATCTTAAAAACAATCTTACAATTCTACACCTGCACATTAGAAAGAAACCGTGATAATAAACTGATGGCAGAACTGTTGGCAAATTGAGCCATCATGGCAATAAATAAGATCAACAAATTGCATAAAGACGAAGCGACTGCGCAGACTGACAAATCCCAATAAAAATGCTGTTTAAATAGTACTGGCCTACATGTTACGTAAACTGTGACTGTGAGACCTAACCATGCTAATGTTATGGTCGAGTTAACACTAACAGTTAACCACGTTAACGGTAACTTAAGGCTTTAATAGCAAAACTACACTGTACGCTCAGGGTTTGATCATCGTCACACTTGCTGTTGTACTATCAAGTGTCATGACTGTGAGTTGCTTAATCATTTGTCATTGTTGGACTGACGCCAGCGATGACTCAGGTGATGGTTAACTTGTGTTACCTTCTTCGTCCCATTCTTCAACTAAATCACACGTGACAAACAAAGGTAAACTCTCTCTGTCTATAACTTAGCCTTAGGTGCAGAGGTAGGCCTAGCTGTGGCCAACATTTGGCAGGACTGTCCCCACGTGTGTCGTTTTAGTAGTTGTAGTTAAAACACAGTCGTTCGTACGTACATGTAGTACATCTAATTAGTCAGGCTTCCTGATTACCAATTCACGAAACCATCGTTGGTAACGTCTGAGTTACAAACGAGAAGCATTTGAGGCGCCCTCTATTGTCATTGTTCAGTCAGTTGTTTATTGTAGCAACCTGCAGCGATATCTTGTTACTTAGTGTGGTGAGGTGAATCGTATCTAAAAATGTTGTGTTTATTATCCAATTGCAGTCTGAAATTATATTAGTTGTGCAGCACATGAATTTTAGATAGTCTCAGTGTATACTTTGACCACAACAGATTTAAAGCTTACGCTGATTCCCCCTTTTCAGACGTTTCACTTTTAGACCCATAATAACTTAAACTTGGCTGGGCCTCTAGCCCAGGTTAGACGTTGTCTTCCTTTCATTACACCTGACGTAACGTAGTCAGGGAGTCCACCTGGGCCTCCATGATAATGTCTTATTGATTAACCTGACCGAGTCTTGGTAGTCCTAGGCTTACATGTAACTTCACACCATCACCAGTCAGTCTAACTTCATGAATTACTCTAGAGCCAGACTTTGGCTCATGACATGGTGAGATGTTCACCGATTGGTAATGTCCCAAACAACATGCACAATGTGTAGGCCTATTGTGTAGTTATTGGGTCAGAATTACACAGTTTTGGGCTGTAGCCTAGCTATGGTAGTACTAGTCCAGGTAACTTGGACTCTACAAATTACCTTTTTTAACATTTGGACACGGTCGGGTGATAGTAGGGTCCAAGTACCTTCCGCAGGCTTCCACCCCACATGTCCCATTAATTCATTTAACTCAAAATAACTCATATCCCGAATCAACATTATCAAAATTCCTCTGAATTCACCTTCAAAACAATCCTTAAACTGTCTAATGCACCCGGCTTAGGATTAAGTCGGAGATTCCAATAATGATGGTAAAGTTTAACGACGACTGATTCCTGAATTCGGAGGATTTTGATTCGGGGATTGAGCTATTATGAATTAATGGGATGGAAAGCTTATGGAAGGTACTTGGACCCTACTGTCACCTGACCATGTCCAAATGTTAAAAACGGCAATTTGTGGAATCCAAGTTACTCGAACTACTAGGCGTGAGCCCTAGAACATAGGCTTAGACTAGGGCCTACCATTACCTGATTTTTGTCGGTAGAGATGGCGTAAAAATTCAGTGATATTGTTTGATCAGCTACAATGGAGGTGGAACGGTGGTTGAATGACATGTTACACAGGGTTCTTATTGTTACAAGGGAGCTGCGTTTTTATGTAGTGGTAATCAGGGCCTATCAAACTCTCCCACCAATCAAATATACCCGCACTTTGCTAGGGGCCTTTTAAATTCCACCCTTCCCTGGACCCCACCCCAAGTTGCAGTTTTAAGAATCTCTTTCCAGATTTTCCATTTGTTAGCAATGGGTCTAATTGCATGTCTCATTTTATGCGTGTGTCTTTGTTTTAATTTACAGTCGCTGGCCACCAGGATCAAGCTGAGCGTACCAAAATGTCTGACCCATCAGGAGTTCTGAAGAGATATGAAGATGTGTGCGAGGAGATGGGTGTCAAACCCACGGCTTTCATAATGAAAGTACTGGAGAAAGAAAAAGATGACCAAATAATGTGAGTTTCTGGGCTGCCAAACTTGTGTTGTGACTTGAGCACTCCTTCGATTTCCACTTTCTTTGCTCCCCTTGAAGTTTGTGTTTCTGTCTTCTTAAGTCTTTGTGATGGCCGACTGTCATATAAATAGGGACTAGGGGGCATATTTTATGACCAAGTGAAGTGAAATTGTTGATGCCAGAAATCTGTTGTGTTAACCCAAGATGAAGAGGCAACTTTTCGGCGACTTTAACATGATTGATAATTTTTCCAGTAAACTGGTCAAGGTTATTTAGTTTTTGCAAAAAAAATGGAATGGAGATCACACTACAAGTATGACTTTGGAGAAGGAAAAGTTTAAAACTCTCTGTTTTTGGTGAATTTTTATTGCCCTCTTTTTACATGTAAATGGCATCACACAGCTAAATAAGACACAGCAATACGAAAGAAATGGATTTCTATAATTGTAGGGTTTTACATGTTAGATGGCTATATTTTCTTCATGTATCTCACAATGTCAAGCACAAAAAGGATTCTTATTCCCCCAAAAAATCTCCAAAAAATAACACCAACCTGGTGCCGCTCATTTTGAAATGATTCAGCTTGGAATACCATATGAAGTGTTTTTTTCCTTTGCAAAAGTACAACTGGAGAATTTCCGTCTGCCGGTTTTCAAACTGTCAGCAAAGGTTGATCATTAGGCTCATCTCTCTAATGAACCTGTCATTAAAACTGTTTGTTTCTGCTTTCAGACTTTTCCTTTGTGCTATCTATTGTTCTCTGAACAGTTGCAAAGCTATCCAATTCTCAATTCTTACTTTTCTTTTGGAAACGTTACTGTTGTATCTCAACCCACAGACGAGAGAGGAAGAAACTGTAAGTATTGTGTTGTTGTTTTTTGCAGCACGGCTGGCCACCATTATTCATTTTGTTGATGTGATGTCAACTTTTACACAAGCTCACAGCTGAACGAATTTTTTTCATCGCTCAGTTAATCACGTGATGCATCCCATCGAAAAACCTGCTCAAAAATAGTGTCAGTTTTGTTTGTCTTAACGAAGGGAGCATTTGTCTTACAAAGATGCTGGAAAATTCCAGACAAATCGGAAAGTTTTGCTCAGTAGTTTTTTTCCAAGTTTTGCACTACCTACGAGTTCACATTTTGCCAGATCTGCAAAGTGTTATGGGTCCAGTCAAATAGTAGGAGTGGCATTGTCAGAAAATGGGGGTGTAGCCAGGAATTTTATGGGAATACATCCTATGTTGAGGGAGCATCTCATGGAGACGTGAGACTGTGGCCAAATGGGGTCCACTGTGGTTTGACACGCAGGGCAGTTGAATGTCACGGAGGACGTGGTTTTTTACTTGCATTTTTGGAGTCGTTGTTTGGGGAAATGTATGTACTTCTCAATCTTCTTGCAAAGCGTACACGGAATGTATTTGGCATTTACATGCACACTCGCACAATCTCTTGCCTGATTGTGGAAACCGCACATGTGTTTATGGGACCAGAACTGAGTGGGGTCACGTGGATAGCCCTACAATTTGGTCCTAGAATTTTAAACTATAGAAATCTTCTCCACATCGCACTACCTCAGCCTGGCAAGCACAGAAGTGCAGAACCACAGCGCGGAGCAGGGTTTTTATCTCACAGCGAATGATTTAACAAACAGATATTTGAAAAACTCTCCCCCCATCCAGAGGGGAAACGTGTCATGTGAATCTCCTACATCATGCTCATATTGTCTAGGTATTGTTTTAATATCTTTGCAAGACATGAGCCGTCTTATTTATTTTGAAACAATCACTCTTAAACTCTCAGTCAGAGTGTGCAGGGGTCCTTTTGTTCTGTAGGCCTTTACTTTTCCCTCATTCCTTCCCTTAATTTCTCCTTCAGACCTCTTTTCAAAAATTGCACAGCAATGCCAACATCAGGTACCGGTGCCTAGATATTTAGAGGCTTCTTGTCCCAATCTCCCTATTGTGGTTCTTTCTTCCTACCTGTGAATCATACCCATGTAGATTTATAGATTTAGCATCAAATTGTTCCTTTGTAGTAGACAGAAACAGTGCATGTAGTTTTTTTCTCCTATAAGGCCCTTTCCACACTAGACAAATCTCGGGGTTGACGCAGGGTTGAAAACTGGTGACGATTCTCACTTGAAAATGCTCAACCCTTGCCGACCCTGCGTCAACCCCGAGATTGATTTCAACGGGGGTTGACCTTAACCTTGCTCCGGACACAGAGTTGAGAATTTTCAACCCGGGTTGACAATTTTTCGTACTCATTTCCCAGTTGAACTAACCCTAATAAGCTCGATTCGTACGAAGCAAGTGTGAAACAACACCGGATTGAAAAATCCAATTTGCAACCCAAGGCGATCATGGGTTCACCCAGGGTTGAGTTCAACCTGGCTTGAGAGGTTGTAGTGTAAAAGGGCTCATAGAGGTGTGCATATGTAGTAGTGTAGTTTTAGTTGAGAGTAGTACAGTGGTCAATTACTCTGATGAGGGACATGGCACATAGCACAGGGTGACATCCAAAGGCAAGGTTTCCATAGGGGTGTGAAAACTCCTTGTCCAACAGCACAGCAGTAAATGCCATTGTGGCGTGTAGACTCCAGGGACATGATGTTTCATCAATACCCAAACGAGGGGCATGGCAGAAGAGGCAAGGCCGAGGGTGTCATGCTCCCTGAGGGTGCAAAAACACCATGTCCAATGCGCACCACCCCAGTAAATCATTGTTGAACATAGCAGTTTGCCGTGATGTAGGTCAGACAGTCTGGACTTCTAAGGAGTATATCGAATACACAAGGCAGGGCTGAAGATACCCCCCAGCTCTGATGGTGTGAAAAAAAAGTCCCACATTACAGCAGTCACAGTTTGGTTTTGCTAACTGTTTTTAAAATCATGATTTGGGTTTTATCTGATGTTCGATAAAGAAGCAAAATACTCAAAGCAAAAATTGGGGTTTGTTACAGTACTCACTAGTGTTGAGGTTGAGACCCTTGTAAGACCAAAGAGCCAATTCAATTGCAACAAGACCAGACACAAGACCGCCACCACTCACAAGTGACAGGGTGAATAATAACAAAAGAATACTTTTGTTGCAGATCATTTGAATAGCTTAATTGTGAGTTGAATTTGGACCGGGCATCTTGTGTTAGTCTTACAGTGGTCTTAGGGGGTTTTGCGGTGGAGACACAGTGGCGTAACTACAGGGCTAAATTTCCGGGGCACAGCCAAGGGTGAATGCATTTTTTTCAAGGGGGCACCACAAGAAAATAACTTGCCGCTGCATTTTAATGGAGACTATTCACAGATTTCAAATGGGGGGCACCAGGGGTGGGGACAGAGTTACGCCACCGTGATAATAGTCTGGTTTTTGCTTGCACATGTTATCGAATTTTTGAAATGTGATACACGTATAAGGGGTGAAAATTTATTTGGAAAGTTGCCAATAATCCTTTTTTACCAGGAACTTGAGATGGGACCAACGAACTCACGTTTTCAAAGGCATGACATACACATTTTGCTTAAGCCTGAAATGCACTGCGTTTGAGCTGTAATTGTGCATGTACATTTTAAAACCCTCAGAAGTAATATTTCCAACTAACTGGGAAAGAAAATGCATGCAAGGAAAACGCCAGTTAATTTATTCGTATCTAATGACATGTATTAACATACCTGCATGGACAGCAGACCCACAGGAAAAACCTAATAGTCCACCTCCAAGAGTTTGCCACGCATCCGCCAGTCACGAAATCTGTCGACCCTTTCCAAATGCGCATTGAGTCAACAGATCTCGCGCATCGTGATTGGCCAACGCGTTGCAAGCCCTTGCAGGTGCACTATTGTGAATCACCCGTATTGTGTCAAAGAAATGACAGCTTTTTTTGTTATTTTTTCTGAAAGTTAGGAATGTTTATTTTCAATTCCTGGCTGGTAATAAGATACCATATTTTCAACTTTACGCGGTTCATATACATGGATGCCCTCAGCGGTACCGATAACCAGTTTACATGATTACGACATTCATATATCGATATCTCAAACCATACTGTGACATTTCAGTGTCTGCTTTAGATTTCTGTGACGGCCTCGTCACGACATGGAGAGCATTTCAGTGTCCATCGTCATTTGTAAGACAGCATTCCACACTCCATGAATCACACTCTGAAATGGAGAACGAAACTTAGATTGGTGGAGAAAAAACGTGCCAAGTCAGACTAGGATCAATACTTTTGGCCGAGCTGAAGTCATCTCTGCCTCTGAGCATAAGTCCATGCATCACTAGAGTTGTGAATTCACCAAGTCATGCACTGAGGCATGAAGTTTAAAATCAACAAATTGTAATACTTCTGGTCCTCTGGTCAGAGAAAACATGATAAATTTCCCTTTTTACAAAATGTTAGAATCTAGAAACGTTACTTTGGAGCACCAAGGTCTCTTATGAGTACACATTTCAGGGCAGGAACTTCACAGAGGCATCAGAGGCAACTGCTTTTGCGCAACCTGTCTTTGCCTCAATGCCCATTGAAATATCCCCATAGACAAGTTGATTTTCTAATACAAGTGTCCTTACTTAGCTTTGCAAATGAGAAATTGCCTTGCCCCTTCAAGAATGAAATTCCTGCCCTGACATTTGTTTCTCTTCAAGCACTGCAGAGACTTTGTTGTGGGGGACTGATGCCGTCATTCCTGGTCTCAGGACAAGTCACCATGCACATACATGCACGTGTTGTGTTTGTTTTAATTCATTTTTTGGAGTACTTTTTACATTTTCACGATGAGGTCTGCATGCCTAATTGCTTCCAAGTGGCAGGCTATTATTTGATCATAATGCTGTATGTTTGACAATTTTTTTTCAAAACCATTCAAATTGTCACGATATAGATTTACATGGGATGGCAAATTGTGACATCCTCTTTCCGTAGACGTTAATATAGATCTGTCAGCAAATTGTCTCCAATTTAAGACGGTATTGAATGGGTAATTAATATCTGGATAAGAAGATTCTTGCCTCACCTAAACCAAACTGGTGGATACTTAGATTTTCTAAAATACAGCTAGACTCCAATATGGCTGAAAAAATTTACCACAGAGAAAGTTTGTGTCAAACTAGTACGTGTACCTGCCCAGCAGAAGCGTGCGACAGCTACGGCGGTCCGCCAGGTTATTATGAGGAATTACATGTACACATACAGGTTAGCATGTACCCAAATTCAACAACACCAAAAAAGCACACGTACTCTGTTTTAATCCTGTTGGTTTCCATCTCAATGACAGAGACCCTAAGGACAACATGGATATCGTCCTACGCGGGAACAATTACCTTCTGACCGACACCAGGCTGACCGACGCCGACATGCTGGCGCTCTACAAGACCCTGGCCAACAACGTCTATGTGACGGGCCTGGACCTGCGGTACAACAACATGACAGACGAGGGCGCTGTACACATCAGCAAGTTGCTGGAGGTTTGTGGCCATGCATGAGATCACCACAGTATCTGAAAGAGAAATAATGGTCAATCCACGCTCCGTGGGACATGAAAGGGAAAACAGAAAATTTAATCATCAACAATTGCTAGCTCTCATTGCGACTTTTACTTCTATCCAAACAAAGATTCACTGCTCCTTCACTTAAATATGAACCAATCAATAATGAGCTGGCACTTTCAGCTAGGCCTTAGACTCGTCAGCTTCATCAGTTCCAATTCAGCATTTCGATGTTTTGTTGTGTCTTGAAAAAGTGATTTTATATTTTTTTCATAGAAGGAATTAAGTCATCCGAAAACTTTGGGGTCCTAAAGAGAGATATTTTTGCTGTACCTGTCACACCTGACCTGTGTAACTTGGCGTAAAAATATCACTGAAATTGACTTCAACATAGGTTTATTCTCGTCACATGTAATTTGCATTGCTTAATCACTCTTGGAGATTAAAAATGTTTTTTAAACTTACAAAATCATGAGTCAGATGCGACAGAAACTAGAAAAAAATTGGACTTTGAATTTATGGAATGACCGTAGACAAATAAACGAGCCTGTAGATGAGACATGCTGTTTATTGAATTAATCCAGGAAACCTGTGCGCTACGGACCCTGAACTTGCAGAGCAATGACATTGGACCAGCTGGCGCCGAGAAAATTGCCAAAGCGCTGCAGGTAAGAGTTACTCGAGAGACTTCGGAACTGCTTCGTACTTGCACTTTTCCGTTTGCCTCCCTGTGCGCAAGTAAACTGTTGAACATAATTATATTGTGTTGGGGGGCTTTGGTTTCTCCATCAACCAGGTGAATGAAACGTTGGTCTCCCTGAAGCTGAACGGAAACAAGATTGAGAACAAAGGTGGTATGTGCCTGGCTGGCTGCTTACAGGTCAACACAGCCCTCCAAGAATTGGACATTGGAGATGCCGACTTGGTAAGTGTACACTTTGAGAGAGAAATTGTAAGAAACTCCCTTCATTACTTACTGTGGTGTCTTGAAGTACGGTTCTCTTTTTTCGTCCCTGTTCCAGGGCACTCAGAGCGTCATAGCACTTGCCACCATCCTCCATCACAACACCACACTCAAAGCACTCTGTGTCAATCGCTGCATACTGTTCAGCCAACAAGAGGAAACCACGGTCCACATGTCCCTCATGCTCAAGGTAAAAACAAGACCTAGTAAAAACCAGACTTCTGGGTAGCTGGCCCATTGTTTTAAACCCAGCTAACTGTCAATCAAAATAGATTTGCGACAAAATAATTTTCAAAATGGACATTGTGAACAGCAAAATTATGGAATTAGCGTGTTCACAAAGGTTTGCCAAATTGCCTGTCGAGGCATTGGGCAGTAATTTTGGATTCTTATTTTTAAGTTACTTTGTGGACACTTGTATTTTGGAAATTTTATTTGAAGGTATTTATCATTGTTGGCAGCTGCAGTGCTGCTACAATGTGGTCAATCTCACAGCATGTAAAGGGGCTACACAGACAGACTCTGCCAAGGACATGACATCAGACTGCAGAGTACAACCAGGGATCAAAAATGTTGATTTTTTCAGGAGGGAGGAAGACTGTATGAAAGACAGAGAAAAGCCCTCACAGCTCAGGAAGGAATCAACAAACAACTCTATTCACATATGTCTTAACCCCTTCGCGCCGGGACGCGGCAAGAGCCGCTGTAAAAATTGAGATCCTCAGCCCGATTTTCAGCTATTATTCTCGGCCCATGCTCCAGCGAACACGGTGAAAGAAGGCAGACCCTGGCTCTTGTATATATGGTAATTGGCTTTTGTGTAGCCCAGAAATGAAAAGACCAAATTTGCATCATAATCACCAGCTTCACAATAGTCCCCACTTTGAAAAGAGGCAACGGGAATGTGGAAGGGTGAGTAGAGCCGCATGCCACCGAACAATCAGCCTTTTCACCGTGTAATTCAAAGCATGCAGAGCACGCTGGGCCACAAACCGAGAATTTGCAGTTTGGCAGGTGGCCTTCATGGCCAAGCGAGGCTTGAATTCTTGGAGTCGGCTTTTGGAAAGAAATCCCGTCGTCAAGGCATTAACAGGGAAATGAACCCAGGCCACAGCAGCGAGAGGCCATGCTGTTCACGCTATAGTCACCCGTTTGAGAGACACAACTACAGTCTCAGTGCATATATCTCAATACTTGCTTAAAACTGACGTCCTTTCTTTCTTATTCAGGTAAATAGCACACTCAAGGAGCTCCACCTTCAAAAATGTGACATCCGAGATTTTGGAGCGGAACGTCTCGTGGAGGCCCTGCAGCATAACATCGCACTGACGTATCTGGATCTTGCTTGGTATGATCCATGTGGGAAAATGTACATGTACTAGACAAGCTATGGTCAAGAGGTTTAAGCTAGCACATAAGTTGAGAGGGTTTTAAGGCCACAAATTAAAAGGAAACACTTTTTTCTGCTTACTAGCTTTGCGTAGTAAGGCCAAGAAAATCAGTTTGTCTCAGGTCGGACGGATGTTCTGGAATTGATGCAGCAAGGCGACTTTTTGGTTTCCCCTCCTCTCGGGTTGGATTGTACAGACAACTGCAGACCCACGTTGTCAAGTCAGGGAACTAGACCAGCTTTATTTCAAGCTTACAACAAACAACTCTGTATCCATAGTCTGCTATCGTTTAACATGGGGATTTATTGCCCTGAGTAAAAGATAGAGCTGCCCGCAAAAGTGTTGAGGCAGTGCGGCAATAGCGGGCGTTGTTGCAGCTCTCACAGAGAAAAAAAAAAAAATTGACGCTCATGCTTAATATCAACCCACTTGCTGACTACAGACAAAAGATTTTGGGGCCTAATGGCAGATGCAGGATTAATGGATCACTCTGTTAAATAATGGCCAATGCCTGATGACCTTGCAACTGGCACTCCCACTCCAAGAACCATTCCATTTCCGTTTAGCACCTATGAATTAAGTACTCTAATGCTGCACAGTAGTCATAAAGGAATGTTCCTTGTCTTTTGCTGTCTTCTTGAAGCAATCGCATCACGCGGGACGGCGCCAAGGCTTTCTCCAAGCTCCTCAAGCTAAACACTCCCCTGGAAATCCTGGACCTAGGCTTCAACAGGATAGAGGACGATGGTGCGGTCAGCCTCAGCGAGGCTCTTATCTCCCTGAATTCAAACCTGAAGACGTAAGTTTTCAAGTGAGATTATCGCAGTTTGCCCAGCCACTATTCTCCGTGGTTGCTAAGAGAGAATGGTTTGCACAGGCCTTGAAAACCTAGAGAAGAATTTCAAACTTTAAATTCTTGTCCTTGACAAAAGTAGGCCAAATAAATTGAATTTCAGCTAATACCATGAGCGTTTTCAGCAAGTTTATAAAAGTGCAAGGTCTCAAATTCACAAACCAAGACAATCTTGGCGACAAGCTCTGTGAATATCTACCTCTATGCCACATTCCTGGTCAAAACTTCAACTGTAAAGGCTGTTAATTCCTACTTCAGGCCGAAAGGAAAATGAAGTGACCTGGACGTCACAAAACATCAGCAGCAAAATTTACTTGGAGTTGAAATGTTTTCAACTTTGGCAAAGTCCCAGTGCCACTATTTGATCTGTGGTCACAAAATCCGACATTCATGTACGCTTCTGCAGCGGCCATGAACCAGCGCCGAGGCTATGTTTCGTTATGTAACACCCACGTAATAAATCAAAACGAAAAATTAGTATCAAATCATCTTGAAATACTCTGCAAACATTAGGGAAGACACAAAAGTCGAGTTATGAAAAACAAGTTACAAGCAAAAGTTCACCATGGAGTGTAGAGTGCCAAAACTCAAAACAAGGCTTACCGTAACATTCTCAGGTTGGTCATAACTAGCAACAAAATTGAGGCTACCGGTCTGTGCGCCATAGCACGAGCCATGAACAACAACGCCACGCTGACCAGTGTCTTCATATGGGGCAACCATCTGGAAGAGCTTGCGTGTGTGGTAGGTAGCCAGACTTCATATTCTGGTGTCAGTGCACTGGCAATCCCTGAAATGTGGCACCAGGCTGGCAAGACTGTCATTTGCATAGTTTGTAAGACCATAGAGACATCTGAATTAATTGGTTTAGCCAAGAGTGGCAGTGTGTTCCTCTCAAAGTTTAGCTGCTTCAGCCACAAGGGTACCAGTACCGTTCTCCAACATGAGCTTCATCATTTTTACCAAAATTGAATCATCTTGTTGAGCTCGGGGAGTTAAAAACAGGGCCACATTCTGATTTTCAGCGAGCAAAAAGTGTTTTCCATTTGTTAACCAGTTAGCTTTCAACAACTGTGTAAGAAACACAACTGGCAACACTTCTAATAATGCCAAGGACTTACAAATAACAAAGTGACGTTTCACTCTAATTACTGACTCCATGCTGGCACAAACTTCTGGGGTTTGTGTCTGTAAAATCAACAACCATCAGCGAAACACTGCTAGTGTGATGGTTGCCAACTGGGCTCTTCTGCCGCGCCTTGTGCCATCAATTATTCATTCTCTCATTGTCCTTTTCATCAGGCATTTAACAGCCTGATAGAGTCCGGCCGACTGGATATGAAGAACACAGACGTCAAGCCGTACGTCGTCGACGGCCACGTTATGCTGGCCGAACTGAATCACGGCATCAGACGTCATTACTACTGGACACCGTTCTACGGTCCAGACGCAGAGTAAAACCCACTCCACACCAAACCTCAAGAAAGTCTTAACGGCCGCAGATATGGGATGCTATCCCGAAGTCGCTGGCTGAGGAAAATACATGGAAACTCTCATCCAAGTTGTACATTTGGGATTTCTTTTCACTGTTGAGACTAGTTACTTCACATTAAATTTTATCCATGTGAAGTGAGGAGTGAACAGGCTTCGAGGGATGGGGTACATGTAGGTTCGTTTCAGTGCTCGTCAATTGCACCATGTTTTGGTTAGATGCTCTAAGAATGGATGGGAATATGTGGTTTAGGCATCCAGTTGGTTGTACCTAGACAACAGAGCGAGCTAAGATCCTTGCAAGGTGGTGTAGCGAAAACATTTTTCCCGTTTACAAAAGCTTTCTTGCCTAATACATGTGCATATCACCCCCACCCCAAAAACAGTAACAAGTTTGACATTAGTATTCTCTTGTGAAAACTAGCTGGATTGGAAACTTTTGTTAATACTTAGAACTTTGTCAATGTTACCATTTTGCCAAAAATTTGAGTCATCACTTGATGCTGTCAATAAGTTTATTTAAAGATGACATGCTTTTTGTTTTACCAAGCCCGCTATTCCATAACAAAAAGGCAAGATACGAGCTCTATACATTTACGCAAGACGCTTGTTTGGGACCCGTTGTAAATATGACACAGCAAATATGAATATTTGTGTCACTGTTCGTAACCACTCCTAAATGGAAGTCATTGAAAGAAAATGCACCGATGACCACCTCTCTAAATTATGTAAATAATTTATTTGTGCAAATGAATGTACAATTTCTCACTAAGAGTTTACTGTATCCTTTTCTTGCATCTTAATTGAGTCTTTTGAGGCCGTCTACACTTTACACGAATTTGACATGTCAAACAAGTTCCATGTCACAAAACATGTCACACAGCGTGATTTGTTGAGAGTGAAAATGCATTTGGAAGTGACGAGGCCGTGACGTTATAAGCCTACAACTGCTTTCGTGTCAAGTGTGAACGGGCCCCATAATCTCCCATTCCGTCCAGTTCTCACTCAACCTTGTATATATTTGTGCTCAAAAGAATAAGACTTTGATTAGACTCTGATTTGATGCAGAGATTGAGTGTCCATTATTTCACCGTTAGTCATAATCAGAAGAGATGTTAGATTAAAAAGGTGCAAAGGCAAAGTGAGAGTTATACAAGTTTGTCAAACAAAAATCACTGACATTATCAACAGAGGGTGATGTATTTGGTATACACAAACTATGAACACTGAAAATGTTTCTATTTACATCAGAAATATACATCTACGGCCATTATTTCCATTGAAGAAAATTAGATATTTCATTGCACACATTTAACTCGTGTATAGCCAACTTGCCTCATGTCAGTGGGATGTAAACGTCGTATAATAACTTTTTTATAACTGACATTCGACAAAAACTGAGTTACAGCTTAGTGCATCATTTCAAACTGGAAGGTTTCACTGTACCCTCATTTAAGGAACTCACAACTGGAGTCTTGATACCAGACCTTGGAATGAAGTACAAACCTCATGTCAGACAGCTGTTATTTTTTCCTCTGTAACACAACAGCCTACAAGGCTTCACGTGACGTTCCTTCTCAGAACAGTCAGGTCCCTTTGAAGTGTTTATAAGCACTCCTCAGCATTACCACCACGTATTCAGGGTACTTGACCAAGATGGCCACAATACAAGAGACATTCCTCATGAGCGTGGCAGGTGTCAAGGTACTGGGGCCAGCGACTCCACACCAAATGTCACCTCAAAGTGTTTCACGTACTTCTCACAATGCTCACCTAGGAAAAAAAGAAAAAATGAAGGCCAAAACTGCTCTCACTTTGCTCAGTTTTGAAAAGGAAAGAGCTGTTGTCGAGGCCCAAGTCCGGCTCAACATGCAGTGCATTGTGGGAAAAATTTGACAGTTGTGGACACTGTAACATGGAACTCAGTTTGGCAACAGTTTTCAATTCTTTAGAAGTACGTGACTGAGCTCGTTGCCACGTCAATGAATAACTATGAATTTTATTCTACAGAGCTTAGGAATTCATTTGCATTTGTGCAACAATTAACAAATATATCCACGGGCAAATATTTAATTGCATTAACTTCTTTACGTAAGAAATTGACTGAAACTTGAAAAGTGGTCTCTTGGAGGCAAGCAGTTAGCAGAGAGTGAATACCCCTAAATTTTCAAGCTTACCAGGCATGAACTGCGGATGTCCCCTAAGCTTGATGTTCCTTTGCTCAAAGAACTTGAAGACTGTGTAGAACAGCATGCTGTTCGACGTGTTCAAGGCCGCGTCCAGGAATTTCCTCGCCGACGCGCTGTCCGCACCCCCGACGCTACGAAGGAACCGCAGCGCAGCAAGGAGCTGGTTTTTGGAGAGTAGCACCTCAACAATTTCTTCGTTGGCCGTGGTCACCCTCTGTTTTTGAAAGCAAACCAAGTATTAATAAACTGTCGTTTCTCGCAGATCCTTCAAGAGAGTATGAAGAAAGCGTGCAGCGATTTAAAATTGATCTCAGATGTGAGACGTCTCAAGATTTAATCTCAACCCTATCAAAGATCCTTCAAAATCTACTCGGAGGTTTTGGCAATTTTTATTCTGTGACTGGAATGGAGTCTATTGGGCTTAGTTTTTGAACCGGTTCCACATTACAGGACAGGGTACCCATAACCAACTAGACAAATCAATTTGTTTACTTGTCAAACAACGAAAGATCGGGAATAAGTTGGGAAGTGCTGCAGGTTGAGTACGTATAAATTTCCACGAGTATGAGTACTTCTGCATGAGTGCAAATTAGAATAAAAGGGCACCTTTTTTTGTGAGTGCGAGTATATTTTCATGAGTAGGAGTTTGAGCACCAAAACACCATTTACTCAGCTTTGAGTAGCTGTATGAGTCTGTGTTCCACAACACTGCTGCATACCTTGAGCATGTCCAGAGCCAGTTGGTGTGCTGGTGGGTAACAGCTCTCCAACGACAGCAGCAGGCAAGCGATGGGCTTGGAATCACTCAAGACGTGGTACTGCAGGAACTGGTGAAGCTGGTAGAAACAGTTGTGGTGCACCAAGGTGTTGATCACCAACTCGTACAGGAAGTGCTATGCAGGGGGGGGAAACCACAAAGGTTGCAACGAAATTAGCCCTAACTGCGCTAAACCTGACAAGATTCTGTTCTACATTATGAGCAGACTTTGAACTTAGTCGGGGACAAAGAGTATTGCTGTTACTTTTGTACTGATTAATCTCAAGTGACAGTTTCTGTCACCTGACTCATTTTAAATTGTGAACCGGATCAAGCAAAATGAGTCTTAAGGCCATAGATTGTGTAAATCTGTTTTAGTTTATGTGAGAAAGAGCAAATTGAATCGTTTTGATGTGTCAGTTATTCTTGCATCTTGATGCCAATGGACAATTACATGGGTGCAAAATGTTGAGGATTCCCATTTGTTGAAAGATTCTCTCAAAGACCTTTCACTCAAAAGTTGCTCGGGTGACTCCCGTCACTCGTGACTCACTACGTTAGGTTGGATCATAATTGGGCCAGTATCTTCTGGCCAAAAAAGTTTCCCTGTCATTGAGGCTGGCGTGTTGTGAAAAAAATCGTAGCACCAAGTAAACATCTTGAGCAGCCAATTTTGCCAGCTCTTGATTCAAAGTGGCCAACTAAATGTATGAGGTATACACTACTGAAGACTCAAGTACTATTTTTGATACCTGAACGGGAATTTGGTAATGGTTGAGCGATCGGATGTATTCAACCAGCACGGCGACCACAAACTTGTATTTAATATCCTTCCGCTCTGCCACTGGCGTCAGCACATGCGTGTACATGTCCGACTGGTCGATGACGATCTTCTTGGCGGTGGGGGGTCTCGCAGCCGCTGCTCGGGGAGTTCCGCCACCCTCTGAGTTCTGTTAGCGAGGCAAAAATCCCCCAAAATTACTTTTCACGACATGCCCTAATACACGTCTGCAACTGATGAGGCCAAACTTGTTTCAAGTGCTCATCAGTGAAGCGTGGGCCCCCACTGGCTTCACTGGAAACTAAGTGCACATGTAATCAAAGTATGACGTTACCAGTGTAAAGGACTCCTACTTGTGAAATATGCAACCGATCTCCTAAAAAAATTGGTTGATATTCCCTGCAGCTAAAGCTAATCCTACCATGCTTAAGTAAAAATATATAGAACAGATTTCACAAAATACTGTAGTCTCAGACAGTGGGCTTGGGGTTCATGCCTGACCTTTCAGATGCATCCTAAGTTCCGATACATTAAATCCTGAAATCAGTGTTTTCTGAAAGCAAGGTTTAGTTGGAAATTATCTACTTGGTCACTTAAATGCAGTCACAACCAAACATCCAAAGTCTTTCTATAAATTTGAAAACTAATTTCTTGTTTGTCCCTGTCATATTTGAGATATGATTTTGTAAGTTTCTAACACGCCCTTTAATTTCCAAGAGTGATTCAAATTACCCTCCAAACAAATAGAATTAGTTTGATGTCAATTCCTGTCATCTTTCCACGTCAAATTAAACCGATCAGGCATAGAAATTTCAAGCTTTTGGACCCCAAATTTACAGAATACCCTAAACACAAGTTATCCATTCTCGAGTCGAGTCACAAGCTGTTGTACTTACTCAACGCCCTAAAGAGATAACTACAATCATATCACAGTATAAGGCGCAAAGTCTATGTAACAATATAGCACATATATATCATCATTAACCCTGCTCACTGGGCTCACAACATCTGAACATTTCTAGACCATCTCAGTTCCCTCCAGAGTACAGACAATTCCGGTAACCATGGTAACACCATCATTGGTTAATTGCAATGGCCCCCTTTAATGGCGGTAAGCACTGACAGCTATCTGACGGAGTCACTCTTCTGTGACAGTTGTTAAGTTAAAAACCCAACACATTTTTGACCACCAGTGACGGGAGCCATCAGGCGTGTCGAGTGCAATGTCAGTGGATTCGTCTATAACAGCCTGATGCTGGAACTTCAGGCCCAAAATGCTGGACATGATAACCACATGAAATTAATAGAGCAATCTTTAAAAGGCTAAGTCTTCCTCATAGTTGGATTGGATTGGATTGGATTGGATTGCATTGGATTGGATTGGATTGGATTGCATTGCATTGCATTGGATTGCATTGGATTGGATTGGATTGCATTGGATTGGATTGGACTGGATTGGATTGGGTTGGGTTGGATTGGATTGGGTTGGATTGGATTGCATTGGATTGGATTGGATTGGATTGCATTGCATTGCATTGGATTGCATTGGATTGGATTGCATTGGATTGGATTGGATTGGACTGGATTGGGTTGGATTGGATTGGGTTGGGTTGGATTGGATTGGATTGGATTGGATTGGATTGAATCACTGAACAGTATGCTGGGGTTTGGGGTTCGTGTTCTGAGGTTTTTTCCTCCTTTATATTTTTCCTTTTTCATCAGAACATGAAGCAACTGTGGTCTGAGGTTATACCTGAGCTGCCATTTGTTCCTCTTCCAGGAAGTTTCGATAGACTTGGTTGAGCTTGTCAAACATCCTAGCGATGATCGCTAGGCTACACTGTTGCCCTGGCAACAAGACTGGAAACATGGGGAAAAAAATTAACTTTTATGAATAGAACCCCACAGGTAAGGGAGAAAAAGTGAACGTGTTGAATTATGAAGAACGTGTCTACTTTTTTAAAAATGCACATTGAACGCAATTCTTACGATGCACCTTATGCATTCTTCCTGTTCTGAATTTCAATCCTGTGTGTCTTACTGACCATGACCACGATCCTCTGTGCTTTACTGTGATAAAGGCTATTTATAACCAGCAATACAACCATGCCCCTGGGCCTGGTTCCAAATGGTCAACTAGACAAGCCAACATTCTACCAGCCAAATGACGCTGGTCAAACTATGGTAAACTATCACTGCCGCTCAAACTTGCCACAAGATTAACCAATTGCAGGACAAAAGCGTGGGAACTGTGCAGCAAGAGATGAAACTTGATCAGCCTTTTTCAGTCTTTGTACCCACCTTGCTTGCAGACGGACAGAATCACTTTCTTGCTCTCTTTCCTCAGAAGCAGGAAGTCGATCAAACGGCACTGCAAATGAAATGCGACATTTTGAACATCAGATCAACAATTTATCGGTTGCGACACAAATTGATGTATACGATTTGGTGCACCAGGAAGTGATGTACCATCCATAGACGTTGTACACACCATACAATTTACGCAGAAATACACCACCAGCTCCCAGGACTTACTTTCGTTCAATATGCTATAAAGTCAACACCCTGAGACAAACTTGCATTGTTTGGGACTATCTTACTTTGTCTGGGATCATCATTCCTTGTCTGGGATCATCTTCCTTTGTCGAGGCTCAACTTACCTTGTCTGGGATCATCGTGACCAATGGCTCCAGTCTGAGGTGTACATGCCACAAGCAACCCAGTCGGGCGTCAATCACGGTGTTGGGCTGAAACACCACCCAGTTGGGGGAGTCTGGGTACCAGATGCTACATTTAAGAAAATCTTCCAGCACAAGATATTTTCATATTATAAGTCAGAAGTGGCGATGGTGACTTTGAACTCATTTTGTTAGGTCGTGGACAAATTTCTTTGCCATAAGTCTAGAATCAGCACATCTGCTGAGAATTTTCACACCTGTATGCCCTACTGCAAGTCTTAGGAGTGTGTAATGCAAAATGCCTACAGTCCCCGCCCACGATCATTCCAAGGTCGTACATAAAGGATACACAGGTCAACACTGACCTCGCGCATCTCAAATCCCGTCTGCGTAGGTATCCCAGGAACCCTCAGCTTGATGGGCCTGATGGGTAATGGTGCCAGAACTGGATGGTGGTAGCTAACATAACCGTCGTTCTCGGTCGCCGGAAGCCGGATGTCAAATATCATGGATGTCTGTCAAAACCGGGTTATTTGTTCTTCAGTATATATGTAATCCAAACTAAGCAATCTATCTTCAGTTTCATCAGTAAAGTTGCAACCAAATTTTGCTATGATTAAGTTTGGAACAATACAGATTGATTTTACAAGGGAAAGTCTCAAAGTAACTACCTTTGATTCATAACTGATCCTCACTTAAGATGCATCCTTACTAACGCATCTTCCTAGCACAGCTATACCTGAAATAACTCAGACTTCCTGAAAGTGACGTTTGGTGACAATACCAATGTAGGAATAATTAGAAGAAACGAGATATTTCTTCCTCAAAGTTAAGGAATCTTTAGGTTCAGGTTTGTAAGCATTCATTGCTAGGAGCACCGCACAAGCTTAGTTAGCATCAGTGTGACTAATGGAGAGATAACACTTTTTCATTTAAACATATCATCCCTTTGGGCCACACACTAGGTACGAGCACTGGTTCAGGTATGAACAGTGGGCAAGGCTAATGGCTTCTTTTCATCTGAATGCGCACAATGGCAATACCATCCAATTGTCAGCTCAGCTTCTCATCTCAATAAGCAGGGATTCCTGTGCACATGGACCATGATCGGTTTACAATTTTCAAAGTCTCCTAACTCCAGACTTGCATGCTGTACATTGTACGCTCTACAAAGACGGGGAAATTTCTCAGCAACTCCCATTGAGAAATACACATGTCTGGGACAGAGAACAGATTGCGTTTAGTGCGTGTAAGTCGGTGCATGGCCGAACCGGCAGGGCCGACCCCTCACATACTGATGTCCTCAAATGACCTCAAGACACATTCCGTTTTGAGCATGTACTGTTGAAACAGAGACATCTGAGTCTCTCTCTCTGTCGTCAGAGAGGGGGATATTTGCTGAGTGTAGGGATCTACAACATTTCACCGAATGCAGGACTCACCTTTGAGGCTTGATGGTGCACGACAACCAAGTTATCCTGCAAAAAAAGCAAACCGTCACGTTTGAAAATTTGTTTAACCTCTGCTCATCAAACAAATGTTACAAACTAAGAACAGAACTACTAGACTAAGGCCTGATCTCGTGGATCTGCAAAGAAATTTAACTTGCATATATTATAACCTAACCGAAGAAAAGGTTAATGGCTCAATGCTTCTGACTTGACCATGTTGACTGGTTATTTATTTGTGACTAGACTTGCCATGGACTAAGGCCTCCATAAGCTAAAACAATGGTCTGAGCCGAGGGCGGATTCACGACAAATATTTCAGGAGGACCAAATTTGGGGGGTTGGGGTTAGGGAAAGGGGGGAATTTGGAAATCTTTTACGTGCCTTTTATGGCTCTTTCTGAGGAGTGAGACTAAATTTGGGGGACTTTTCACTCGTTTTTTTTAAGGCAAATGAAATAGATAAAAAAATTCACCGGTCATTATTTTTCAAAACAAAATTTTTCCGGGTTCTCTTAAGGAGGCCTTGACCCCCCAGTGGCACCCCCCTTTGATCCGCCCATGGTCTGGGCAAAGCATGAATTGTGATGAGCAAACTAGCACTTACGACAACATTGACAGCAAAGCGACCAGACATGTTCAGTTTCAGGACATCCGTCTTCTTGGCGGGTGATTCCCTGATAACGGAAGGCAAATGATTCAATAAAAAATACAAAATATATATTTCTTCTGGTAAGAATGACTCTGTCATCACAACCTGGATCCTTATGAATAGGAAGACACACATGGAGAACGATCAAATGTTGTTGTAGAGAAGACACTCCAAACGGAATAATAACATAATTCTCATTCTTAGGCTACTTGCAGAGCAATCAACAAGACTGTCATTTGGCAGTCCACAAACCAATCAAAACTGTCACATGACAGGTCGTGATCCAATCAGAACTGTCACATGACAAGTCATGAACCAATCAAAACTGTCACATGACAGGTCATGAACCAATCAGAACTGTCACATGACAGGCCACGAACCAATCAGAACTGTCACGTTACAGGTTGTGAACCAATCAAAACTGTCACATGACACGTCATGAACCAATCAGAACTGTCATATGATAGACCCCGACCAATCAGACCTTTATTAATGTAACAAACCCTCAAACAATTAGAACTCTCATGTGACAGATCCTTAACCAATCACAACCATCACATGACCGATCACCAACCAATCAGAACTGCACTCTAATCAGTATCAAGGAACAAAACTTACTTTTGTAGCTGATAGAGAACAATCTCAGCTCCTTTGCTACTGGGACCTCTAGGCTGGTGCCGCAGGACAACGATGTATAAATGGCCATAACTAAAGAAGAAAATGCTCAAATGTAAACAGAGGGAACAGAAGGACCATTTTAAATGCAAAAGACCTTATTCACGGGGAAGCCATTTGTATCTTGTTCCTTGAATCCATCATATTTTATGTAATCTGCTAAACGGGGTGGTGCCAGACTATTGTGGGTTCCAAACCTCACTTTCATTTTTGTATACACGCCTCAAAATATCTTGATATAATCATCATCAATTTTAAACTATCCTAAACAAAAGCTGGCACGAATTTGTCGAAACTTTGATTTCCTGATTGTTATTTTACTCTCAGGTTCCGAAAATAAAAAAAGTTTTACTTCACTTTTAATTCAAGAAGCCGACACATGAATACCGTCTATTCAAAGTTCCTTTCACAACTGTAACCATTATACACACAATTAGGCCGTTTTCCAATATTCAACTTCGTGTCTGTCTCGGGCTTCGTGTGGGAAACCAATCCTCAATTGTGGGCCTGAAGCATTTAACTTAAATTTAAGTACCGTAATGTTTGGCTCTTTTGCATCTTACTTGATGTTTTGTGGCACTATCAGACTTACTATTGCACTTATGACCTCAAAGTCAGGAAGTAAAAAACAGTTGAAGCCTGAGACGGAGCCCAAGTCGAGTATTGGAAAACAGCCTTGGTAGGATTATAACTTCTTTGTGTCAACCTCAAAAGGTTACTGCATTGATCCAATCACATGGAAGTACTTGCAGCAAAGTATCCTCTTCAAAGACACAAGGTCCAAAGATCACCAACAACATTCACAACCTCTCTCGCGAGATTGGACCCGGTTATTATTTTTCCAGATTTCAACTTTTTTTCCACACTTACAGATTTGCGATGGTGACATCTCGCTCCAGGAGGCAGAGTTTGGCTGGCTTGGGGACCTGCGGCAAGTCCACATCAAACTTTGCCATCTTGATGACGGTGCTAGCCTATGTTACCAAACAACACATTTTCAATTTGAAGCAAATGTAATTATGTATATAATATATGGCCCTGACAGTCCCAAATCCTACAATTTCAATATGATTTTTCCATACACCATTGGCAGTTAGGGGAAGTAGAGTAGAGGATTTCCAACAAAACAGTGTACAGTAGGCATTACTTTGCTAGTCAACACTGTTAAAACCAGTTCGTTCTTTAAGTGGTTTGGAAAGCCAAGCGAATTTGCAGTGAATTTCACATTAGTTGAAATGCATTCCACATGTGCGAATCTACAGCATCCATATTTGATCAGACGTCACAAAATTGGGTTTGTGGTTGGCTTCGTGCCAAGCATGAATTGGCCTTTATATTGCTCAACAAAATTACATTGAAAAGAATTTCAACAAAACCTTGCCTAAAGAGAGAAAATGAATTTATCACGCTTGATTACTCTTACTGCAGTAATATAAACTCATACTGACTGCCTGACTGGCACTGCAGTAACAGTAAAAAATATTGACTAAAACTGCAGTAACAGTAACGAATATTGCATGGCACTGCAGTAATATAAACATATATTGACTGACACTGCAGTAATAGTACAAATACTGACTGGCACCGCAGTGAAAGTAAAAAATATTGACTGACACTGCAGTAATAGAAACGACTATTGACTGGCACTGCAGTAATATAAACATATACTGACTGACACTGCAGTAATATAAACACACACTGACTGACACTGCAGTAATAGTACAAATATTGACTGGCACGGCAGCGATAGTAAAAAATATTGACTGACACTGCAGTAATAGTAGCAAATATTGACTAGCACTGCAGTAAATACAAACACATATCAACAGGCACTGCTGAAAAATCAGTTTGTGGGACTCGGTCGCTTATATGTACTGCAGGTGTAACATGAAACACCAGTACATTAGTATTTCAATGCAAAAGCTTACCTTAAAGTGGAACGGATTGAGTACATTGCCTAGTGTTGATGAAGACAGCAGCAGCAGAGAGCTGTCAGCCTGGACAACACAGAATGTTACAGATAGTAAGAGATTTTGCTGCAAAGACAGTAGTCTCCGACTTTGCACCTAAACGTCATTATGGTCGTTGCCTGCATCAACTGCATGCTTCAACCAATGCAATGAGTACCACTGCTATCTATTGAAAGCGAGTAACTCCAGAAGACACACATTGAAAAGGGGCTTTCAAGAGCCTGACTGAAGCAACTATCGTACTCAAATACTTTTCGAACCAAAGAACTGATTTTACAACCCATCAGGCCTATTTTTCACATCCGTCAAAATGTGCACTTGATCTGAACACATAATGTAAAATGAAAGAATGCAAGATGTGATCATTTTCTGCAATGGATTCTGTATTTAATGGATCACAACCTTTCACTGAAAAATATTCTGCTAGGATCAAAATAACAGGCTCTTAAACTTTTTTGACTGTGAGGTTGAAAGAGGCCTCTCGCGTGGCTCTGACGTTGAAGATGCCATCTTAGCCTATCACTTACAAAGAAGACGAACCAGTTGACACTGATGTTGATGTTCTTGAGAGACTTTAGCGTCTTCTTCTCGGGGATAACCTGGTACAGCTCCAAGCCGTGGTCGGTGATGAAGACCACCTCGTTGATATTGGTCCAGTTGAAGCCAATAATCTTGGTGTTTTTACCCTAATTGTATCAGCCAACAGAATAGAGGAACAGAACCTTAAGTCACGTCTGACTTGCTTGGCAATGCAGCAACAATATGTGTAAATATGCGTACACGTGTACGAAAGTCACTTGGGTCCTTTCAAAGAATTTTTATCAGGCGCACTTTTTCTGCAACTTTTATTCCTCTTCAATAAACAACTGTTTGGTCTTCTGTTTGGGCTAGCTGTATTGAAGAGAGCGGTTTTTCAACTTTCAAATTTGTGGACAACTGATGAGGGCGCTGTTGCCGTGATGTCATTCTGGGAAGACACTTTTCAGGTTTCAATGCTTTTGTGTTCAATTATCAACTCAAAATTTGTTCAAATAAAGCATTTTGAGAAAGGTATGGTAGTTTTGCACTGCTGGCATTGACAAAATACTAAACAACATACATTTCAAACAAACTCCAACAAATTAATAATTAATAATTTATAATACCTTTAATGGTGTAAAGAAATACAATACAATATCCTGAATTTTTCTTTTTAAATACTACCTTACAACTCTGGGAGTACTCTGTCAAATCCATCTGATTGGAAAAATTCATGAATTCCTGAAATGAAACCCAAAATTGCAACATAACAGTAACCTTTCATGAAGTGTGCTGCCTAGTGGTCTAGGGTGATGACTCCACATCAGTGGGTAAGGGTTCAAACCCAGGTAGCTATCACTGTGTCCCTGGGCAAGATATTTTACTCAAACTTGTCTCATTCCGTCAGTATTAAAACCGAGGAATAAATTGTGCATGGACTGCCATACATTCTGTACATTTTCAACTAGTCCAGGCCAAGTCCAAGCTAATTTTTTCGGGGCGGTAACGTACAGAGCATCACAACATTAAAATTTCCTAACCACTAACAAAATACACTGAATGTCCCCTTTTATAACATGCTTGAAATTATGTGTAACCCCAGGGTCTTTCAATAACGCAAACATCAAGTGCAATACATCCAAAGCACAGAAGAAAAATGCTCTTTGAAAATTAGCGCTGAGAACCTCAAACAAGGCTGAAGGAATACTCCGTTTTTGAACTAGTGAAACTTTGTCGGCTACAAAGTGGGTACATTCAGTCAGATTTTGTTTTCCACATGGGATCCATCTCAATCTCACGTTTATTTAGTAAGGATAATCAAAATATGTTATCATCAGTCAAAGTCCAAATTCTTGGCTGGGAGAACCCTTGAGATCATCCCGCGGCAGGGTACACAGTATGAAATGATTAGTACACGACGGAAAATATAGGTAATTCTGTGGAAGTACGGAGAAAGAAACAGCACCGGTTTGGTGTGGAGTAGTCTGCAGGGGGGGGACTTTTGTTCAAATATCAAAAACTTCTTATCAAATATCAAAAGAAATCAAGAAGGGATCAGGGTGGGTGATGGTGATAAACAAGCAATTAAGTTTGATCCGCCTAACTGAAATGGAGAAAATTTTGACAGGTGTGACACCTGCGTACCACTGTCTTCTGTGACCTCTGAATGGCTAAAATTTTCAGGTCGTAGGAAAACTTGATCGAGATGACGGGCCCCTTGTCTTCCATTCTGAATGTGGTGCTGGTTCTCTCATCCGGGCCCCTGACCACCACGCCAAGAGCTCCGCCCGAGCGGACCGCAAAGACCTAAATGCATAAGCAAGAAAAAAGGAATGCCCAACGAACACGAGTAACGAGTTGAGAAAAAAAATTCTATACATCCCAAAAGCTAAGAAGACAATTAAACCCTGTTGCTGGCTACTTGGCTACGAAGTCTGAAGGTCTGGGCAGTCAACTGTCACTCCATACCCAGCAGGCTGAGAGGCTGTGATGCACGAGGGGTGGGGCATGCTGCAATTGAGCCAAAGATTGTTTCAAAACAGGGAAGTAAAGGCCAAGAGTTCCATACATGGTCATCCCTTGACACCCTGTATACAACCCTTGGAGACTGGTCAGAAAAGTACATTTTCTGAATAAATGGTTGGATATTTTCCCTGCTCAATTTGACCCAATATTATTACTCTCTGATGCTGGATATACCACTGTCATGGCTGTAGAATAAAATTAGTGGCGTCCTTACTCTTCCTGATTGGCTGACGCTAACATAGATTGAATATTTGTCTTCCAAAAGCACTGGCATACGTGTACATACACATGTACATGTAGAGACGCTGCCCTTGCTGTGCCTAGGACGGGGATTTTTTCCCCTCAAAACTCAAAGCTATGAAAGTGAAATCCTGACGTCGGGGTGGGAGGAGGAGGCGGGAGGTACCCCACAACTGCCGGTCGGGTTCATCGTCTACTCATGGGAACGTGGTACACGATGAACCCCATAGCGCTGGGGGTGAGAGAGAGGGCAGTTTGGGAATGGGGTCGGGAAGACACGGAAGACAACATTAACCCTCCTATGCTGAAGTCACTCTTTGGGTCACTTGGTAAACACCTCAAAGAAGCACAGCTGTGTCGTGTTGTGCACTGCACCAACATGCAAGAGAGTGACCTTGGGCACTGGTGCATATTTGTGCTGTAAAACTAAAGGAGGGTAAAGTTCCTGATCCAGGACGCCTACTCTGTGCATAATATGCCCATCATTGCCAGCACTCAGCACTAGTAATGGTGATCTGAAACCAGCCTGACCTGCCGACGGCATACGGTTTCTTAATGCACGGAGGTAGGGAAAGAACAAACACCCAATCCATCATTATTGCCATCATCATGCTCATGTACATTCTCACGGTCAGGATGACATCACTGAGTATTGGTTCTTCTCTCTGATTGGTCAGTTAGTGGCTGTTCCATGTCACTTGGGACTCAAACTTTCAAAGCTGCGAGGGCCAAAAATCGTTTCGTCATCTTAGGCCCCTGGGGGAAAATTTGAATTATTGACCAAACTCTTCATCTTTACACCAAATATGCCTGAAATTTCACTGTTTATGTGCTATGAATATCTGCCCCCTTGCTGAAAAGGTTACGGTTATTTTTATTGAATTGCAGCAAAAGATGAGGAAAACATCCAAATCTATGTATTCTGTACAAAGTGCGATTAAAATGGAACAACCTCCAATCGCAAGAGTATATTTCCCTTTTCGCCACTCAGATGCCATAGATTTACACACATTTCTCTGCCACTCCTCACCTGGCGTTTGACTTCATCGTAGAAGACATTTGTTGCTTTGCTTATCGGTTCAAATCGAACGGGATTTGACGACAGCTCAATATAAAAGTTGTGTTCCTCCACCATTTTGCTTCCATATATCTGCATTTAAACACGTACATGCACGTAAGTTTGGGTAAAGAGTCTGGGTAACCGTCGATCAATGGAACCAGACTATTGCACAGCCATAAGTAGGGGGCGGAGTTAAGTAGCATAGTCGGTAGGGGTAAAATGACGTACAGATATGGACCACAAGATCTAGGAAGGGGTGCTTCTTGCAGCCACCAGTGCTCACCAGAATACTCATTTTGAAAGGGGTGACGGAGTCGTTGAAAGAAAACCAAAAAGTTTGAAGGGGGGGTTTAAACATCTATAAATTTCTTAAGAAGTTTATGTCACCTTTTTCAAAGGTCCCTTAGGGATAAAGCTAGTGCTTTGGTCCTTGTATACGCCATCAGACAGAAAGTGTTGTGAGAAAAATCCCCAATGTCGCATTTCTTATTATTTCTCTGTAATTTCCTCCGAGGAGGCACCCCCCCCAGCCGGTACAATGACTAGTCGACTACATATTATGTTACCTGCTGTAAATATCGTCCCTGGGTTGCTTCGTAAAGTTCTACCCGAAAGTGCATAATTATCTCGTTTCGATTATTGCACACTGACCTCTCTGAGAGTTGGGATGATTGCTCTTATCACGGAGCTATTGAACACATATCTCCATGCTCTCTCTTATCGGGTCAAGCGATTGATGACTTTGTGGTGTGTAAACTTCCAAACAAAACAAACCTCTGTAGGGATTTAAAAATGTAAATTTCCATTAAAAACGCTGCAGGAGCAATCATGCGTCAACGACCAAAGTCTAATGCCGGACTTCAAGGCCTGTCACTGCTAAGCAAACAATCATGTTGCGTAGGACGCACGGGATTTGACTCAAGAGTCCAGATTACGGGCATTTATCTATTTCCTGACGACAATGCATGGCTCCATGTTAATGAGTATTTGTATGGCTGCAAATAAATATGGTGAACTGAAGGTTATTACCAGTGTTTTAACTTAGTTTCCGCTGATTTGATTTCGTAAAGACTTACAAAAAGTAAGAATACGGAGAATAAGAAATCATTGTGCGATTCCGATGTGCCGGCCCTCGTAACTGAACTTAATTTCGGGGTCAGACACATAATTTTAGGGCCTAGAATTTAGCTCCGATATTTTGTGTTCAGGTAAAAAATGACCTTGGACGGATTCCGAATGCCAAACATTAATGCCTCCTATACTTATGAGACTAAAATACAGCGTTGACTATGTTTTTCCCCTCACATTGCAAGAGGCGATTCCGGACCGTAAACTCAGAGATCGAAGTGAGAATTGAAAGCTTGAGCATTATTTTCACAACACCGCATACCAGGCATGGACCCCGCCCCACTTAAAATACTTCGCTAAATGGCCAGTTTTTCTTAGAAAAACAAGATTATCGTGGATTCTTCCCACGTTTTCGAAGAACAGCCTCAACGTTTGGGATGTTTTATAAAAATACAAAATGATTAGACTAAATTTGTAATATACAAAAGAAGTATTTTAGTGAAGTCCTTAAAACGCACCTTTATTTCAATGTAACCTCATTTCCTATGTTTAATTTGCTTTTCTATCTGTGTTTGGTCCCTTTTGGGTTTTATGTTATTGAATTTGCATATTCATGAGCAAAACTGTGATGTTATCCGAGACACTCAACCTCAATGTTGCACTGATTTTTGCAGAAAAATTGCTAAATTTTTTACACGTCAGTATCGAAGATTTCCATTTGCTTTGGTGTGGCAATTTATTATTGAATGATCTATAAATTTAGTTCAATGCTAAATCAACAGGAATGATAATGTTAATTTGTAAATGGCCACTTAGCCCGTGAGCAACATTTTCTAAGGAATGTTTTCAAAGAGTAAATTTGGGGTTCAAAACTCGAACATGAAAATATGAGACTCACACTACAAGAGTGCTCTTTAGCTTGTAAGGAAAAGCTCGGACAATTTCCAATACTTACACAAAAAGTGAACTTTGCATTTACTGTACTCCAAAAAGATTTCAGCTTTCATACTGAGGAAGGGTTTAGACATGTACAGTGTAAAGGGATTCTCAGAAAAATATGATAACGCCGACAGGATGACGAAGCAAGATATTTTGGAGGTTGAATTTCCTGGCCAAGGCTTTTCCTGGTTTTTCCACAAAGGTCTAAGTGCAGTGCGCGTAAAAGAAAATGCATGATTGGTACCTGTCATCCTTCGCCACTGTTCAAGGTACAACCCATCATTTGCAGTTACATAAAAAGTAACTAATACAATGATTGTGGAAAACCGTACTTGTCGGGTACAGAAACTCCTTGTGAATTTTTTTTTCTGGCAAGCTGTCATTTAGAAAAAAAAACACTGAAAGGTAGTCATTTCCAACGATACGTCTAAAGACACATTTTGGAAACTCGTCAATAGAAGCGTGGACAAGCGCTGGCAAGCACGCGCGCGTGCGCCATTCAAAACATTTCTCAGGAAGTTGTTATTTGAAATCAAAATCCTAGAATATTGTTTTTCTGGAAATATACGGCATTCATTGAATTGAAACTTAACTGGGGTTGTTATCAGACACCCTTCTTCAGATTTCTAGTAATATGGTTGCCTCAAAGGAACATAATGAACAAAATGGTCGTTGTGTAGAGGCCCCCTTTAATGGCGGTACAAGCACTGTGACAGCTATTCAAGTGCAGAGCCACTGTTCTGTGACAGCTGCTTCATACAAAACACAATGCTGACCACCACTGAAGAGGGCTATTACAAACTGTCTAATAAAACGTTCGTGGAGTTGTCAATACCGTCTGTCGCTGCCATAGAGGGAGTTGTGACATGAGTGTCTCGATTCGTTGGAACCAAAATGGTGGCTTATGCATCAGTGCACATGCACAATTAGTACACAATAGTTGCATGCTGTACGGCACACGTAATGAACGACAGCCATATTGGTTCCAAAGTCTGGTGTTATACTCTCTCCATAAACAGCTCTGCAGGTCGCTGTAAGCATGCACTGCCCCCAGGCTCTTCACTTATACGTTACAAAATAATAGATCCACCACCGAAGAAGATTTCTCTTATATTTATTAAAGGATTCTCAGCCAAAAAACTCATTGATCAAGAATGGATTCACACATTAAGCAATGCAGCAATTTAGTAAAACACAGACGGAAAAACAAAAGGCAGCCAAGTCGTCACAGTCAGAACAGATGCATTATTTTTTGCATGTTCACTTTCTTAAAGTAATAGTCCCATCTTCACATGCTTGAAAGAGATATACGATATATAGGACACAGTAAACCTACAGTTCGTACAAACTAACAAAATCTGAAAATACAATACAGCTCGGAAACTGGTGCTTTGGTCATAAAAACGGGTGGAAGAACATTGTTTCCAAAGTTTGATTTTCGAACACAAAAAAGGCCAGCTGGACTTTTTTCCTCAATAAAAGTGCCATCCCAGTTTCTTTCTGCCAAGAAAAGTTTTTAAAACTTCTTATTAATAACGAAAATCTATAGGGTGAATAACCCTTAAACTGTGTCCGCTCCGTGCATACCTTTTTTTTTCAAATCCGTCGGTATCTTATCGCCAGCCACTTCGAAATAAAAACAATCCAATTAATGACAGCACTGCTGATAACAAAATTGGCATGTATCACTTTGACCGAACAGCATTTTGTGCAAAGTCGGTAGTTGCTAAAGCGCTTGTCTATGGAGGCTGCTTCATACTTCAGGCAAACCTACACGCAAAGTGCGTTTGAAGTTACAAAACGTTTCTGGCGAAATTCGCTCGAGTAATTCGCGAATTCGTAGAGTACAGTGATACTAGTTTATCTGACCTCACAGAATCGCGCTTGTGCGAGTCGTGTTCAATTCACACCGAGGATGAACCGGCCTTAGGCTGTAAACCATTACATGGAATCACACCTTGAGCAAGTACGCAAGGAGCGGATATCTGAGGAAGCTATTAATTAAACGATGGTCTCGCAAATAGGCCTGCCGTCACACGCGTTCTCGTAGTATGGCACGAACAACTGCGTGAAGGTGACGATAGGGAACAAGACGAAAGCGCCGATCATGGAGCCGATCTGAGTTACTCCACCGTACCAAATCAGCAGCTTGCGGTTGTCTGGCTGGCAACGGAGTATCCAAGCAATGGTCGCCTTGGTGTACACAAAGAATCCACTGACCAAGATCCAGGCCAGAATCTAACAAAAAAAAGCAAACAACAAAGTATCGTTGAGTAATTTCTAGATACCATAACACATGCATTTTCAGAGCAAGAGCCAATTCTCACTACACGTAGTCCGTCCACGGTCACGCTCACGCGCGATGATCCACGCGCAGGTCCAATACACGTGCGTGCGTGTTTGTTTTTTCTAAGGAGGTCCTGTTCACTGAATAAATCCATAAAATGTAGAGACAGGGGTATAATAAATGAGGCGTCTCGAGAACACGACTAGTCAGGATCGCCATGATTAATACAAGGTGTAAACAGCTGGCCATGTAAAAAAACCATAATTATTGTTGTGTTTTACATGCATGTTTTCACCAGGGCCGGTTTGGTCAATCCATTTGAGAGTGCTTGAAATTCAAGCACATAACGCCTTACACATCAGAAAAACTTGAAATATATGACGAGATTCTTTCTACATTCGGCAAACTGTAATTATTAAACCTTTCAGGAACCTGTCTTCAGGAGAATGTTAAATCCACGGGGGAAAAAACCTCAAAGCTAGCCCCGCAAACGTTGATTCCGAAAGCAAGAAATACCCGTGTGTATATATCGTGTAAAGGATGTCTAAAACCACAGAAATCCTCTTATTATCAGGATTATGATAGACAGTGCCTCTGACTTTGACGAACTATCTGATCGAAAAGTCGCCGATAAACTGCGTCATTTCAGACGTCCGCAGTCTTGTCAACAAGACAAATTAGTGTTTTTCTGTAAAGCAATGCAGCGATAATCTTAGCGACGTAAACATTATGGGGAATTTCTACTAAATGTGGCTTCCGGCTGAACTCACAATGATGGCATCACCGGCAACTTCATGCTGCAAAGGAGGAGCTGGGCTGAGCCCTGCAGTTAAGAAGCAGAACACTGCCGCTAGAGCTCCAGCGCTCATCGTCACACCGACCAAGGGCAGGCTCCGGGAGGGGAGAAGCATCACCAGGAACGCCGCCAGGGGATTGGCGATGTTGGCCATGGTGGAGGCTATCAGGTAGGTGTTGAGACCGTATGGGGCGCAGGAGTAGGTCTGGATGGACGGCAGGGCCCCGTTGCTCATGGCCGTCACGAACGCCAGGATGATGAAAAGGTAGGCGAACTGACGACGGCTTAGAGGCGGCTGGGACCGGACCACCTTTCCCTCGGTGGTCTGGTCTCCGTCGGGCTGGACATCGATGTCCCTCTGGGACGCCGCGTCGTCGCCAGATGACGTGACGCTCAAGACCAGCATGGTGGTGCTATCCGCGCCTTTCACCGGGGCGTCCTCGAACTTGGGTTCCCCGGTCTCGGGCCGGCACTTCTTGACGTGTTCGCGCTTGGCCAGCGGCAGGTAGTTCAGCATGGTGAAGGACACCAGGCAGGCTGTCATCATTGCGAAGAGGAACCCGAAGAAGTTCTGGGGCGGGAAGCGTTCGGGGGTGTCCCGCTGCAGCCAGTTGGTGCACGTCTGGTTCACGGCAACGCCGTCGATCATGGTCTCGTTGATATAGGTGTTGTTCGCTATGCACTCCTTGGTTCCAACCCCTTGGATGAGAGCCACGATGCTGGGCAGGAGCGAGCTCAGGCCTTCCCCGATGAAGTACCAGGTCAGGTAGGAGTTCTTAAGGACTGACATGAAGGGCGTGAAGGCCACCGAGGAGGTGCAGTCCACGACGGAAAGGAAGAAAGCCAGGCAGAGCAGCGCCGTGCTGTGCAGGGCGCCGTCGATGGCCCAGACCGTGTAGTAGTCCCAGAAGAAGACCAAGAGCAGCGTGGAGACGCACCCGATGGACACGATGATGAAGTTAGCCGGGATCTCCACGTGCAGCCCCTTGGGGCTGAGACAGTTGGCCAGGGAGAAGATCAAAGGGCCGATGTTGGCAAGCTGGATGATGACAGTGAGGTAGGCGGCCAGGTTGTAGCCCTCCGGGACGTTGCGGGAGACCAGGAGGGGAAGCTGTACCCACAGACCGTTAATAGCGACCCACGATCCCGTGCCGAACAACATGACGAGTACGATGACCGGTACGCGGACATGAAGTGGGCTTTTCTCCTGTTCAGCCATGATTATCTCTTTCTCCTTTACGGGGGGATCTGTTACACAATCTGCAATCCATAGAAAAAAAACTGAGGTAACACACGATATATGGGTTGTAGCCAGCCTGCTGAAAGGACCAGTCCTTGTTTGTGAGACCTTAAAGAATATACAGCTGTAATCATTTAGTTTAAATACAGACCTTTAAAGTGCCTTACTTTCAACTTTTTTTCACTATTTCAGATGGTATTTATTGCCTTCATTCTTATGCAAATGATTGTTTCCATATTCATGAGCAAAACTGTGATGTCATCCTAGGAAGAAAGCCTAAATTTTACATTGATTTTTACACAACAAAGTCCCATATTTTTGTAGATTTTGCTAGACTAATTTTTCTCTTCTTTGCTGATATATTGTTTATTTGTATAGCAATAAGCAAGCACCAATCCCTTCTCAGAAATGTTTTCAGTAAGTAAATTCCAGGTTCACAATTGTAACAGGAAAACCCATGCACTGAACTATGTCTTCCTGGATGACATCACAGCAACAGCGCCCTCAGTTTTTCAGAACAACATGGATAACAACAGTGTTTCAAAATTGCACTTTTCAGTGCATTTAACCAAACAGGAGTGTAAAAGAGTTTTCATACTTGGAAGAAAAGTACAAAGTTGCAGAAAAATTGTGTCCAAGAAAATTTAATTGAAGCTTCACTTTAAACCCTTTCGTGCCACAAATAATTAACAGCTACTTGCACGTGGAAACCGAGAAACTTCAATATGCGTACAGTCGAAGCACATAAGAAACAGCATGAAGCTCGGGATAGCTCATGGGTGAGAGTATAGCATAGCCAACAGTGGCAAAACTGCATGGGGTACATTTTGCAGGGAGGCATTTGGGGCAGCCTCGTTTCCTGAAGGGGGCGCTCGGTGGGCTGTCACAGTTAAAACGCTGTTAAAAAAGTTAAAAGGCGGACTGTCACCAGATACTTTCCTTTCTGGGGGAGGTGTACAAGTGGAGGGGGCAGAGAGACCTGCCCCCGTGCTCCACTGCCGGCAACCCTGACCAAAGACACACCCTAGGCTCTTTAGAGGTACCAGGCCTGGTGTAATTATGGAGGATGAAAAGTGGCCATCTGCTTTTCTGCTATCAGAAAAGTAGAAAAGCAGATTTTACGTCTTTGTGATGTTCATGCAATTTCCGACTTTTCCACTTTTCTGCGTTTCTGCTCCTTTAAAAATAAATTTTATTTTTCCGTTTTTGCTGGCGGCCGAAAAGTGGCCATCTGCGGAATGACCCCCCCCCCTGGAAAATAGAAAAGTAAATTATTTAATGTCTCATTTTTTGCAGACAAGCAGAACAATGATGAAACATTACATGACATGCATTGTTTACACTGGTATTGGAGCACTTACTTTCAGTTGTTCTTATTATTGTCCCAATTTCTTCCCTTCATTTTTAAGAGCAGGGGGGTTTTGACCCCCCAACACCCCCAACGGATCCGCGCCTGAGCAAGACCTGTCGAGAAATATTATTCTGCCATTCAAACAATGCAGCCACGGCTACACTCAACGTGGGCGAGTCGTCCAACGCACCTACATCAGCGACAATCCCAACCGACCCCTGGCTAAGTTTTCCGAAGCTAAACCATGGATGTCACAAACCTCACTTGCGCGGCCGTGCTATGCTAGTAATGAACGTATGGATTTTTGAAGTCTCCTTGAAGAACCTTGGACAGTCCTTGCTCTATGATGTAACTAAGGAGGGGGGGTTAAGCCCCTCAAACTAAAACCCCTGCCCCCATGTGGATCGACAGAAAAGTCCTCCGTACTTGAACTGTTACCATGCTGTTACCAGGAGAACGAGGGCCCCGGCTGTGCCCATTATGAGTTGGTCCCAGTCCTATCACTAATTTTATAACTCAGAATCGGTCATTTGTACGCACGGAAGAGCTGAATGGGAGTTCGATGACCAATCTTAAATTGAGTATTTCCGTTGCTAGCTATAAATAAGTCCGTACCCCTCCCTCTAAAAGGTTCCTTGGTACATGGGCCAGGACAAACGTCTTATGTGCTGTATGTGTTACAGGTAAACATGATGTGATGTGCTCACAGAGCTTGAAGTTGAACAGCAATGATTACAAAAAACTAGCGGTGATAAACCATGGAACACTCCATGCATAAAATATATAACTTCAGTATAACAGGACTATGGCAGGAGAGACTTCTAAACGGTGGCATCCAATGTATGCCTTAGGTCAACCACCAAAATCAGCGCACGATAACAGCAGCAAGGTTGACCACTGGAGGCTGAGGAGAGTAGGCCTATATGAGCAAACAGAGATATTCAATGCATGCGATGGGGGCGTACGAGCTCTTATCAGATTCAAAAACTTCAATGTCGGATTGAGTCACCGAGTTAACACGATCGATTCAAGGGCCCAAATGCCTCGATGTTCGTCAGTCGAGTTTATCAGTCCTCAATTGTCTCTGATCAAAGGAGATACATACGGGAATGTTGGGAGTGCTTGTACCCGTCAATGGCGCCTGGGCTCAAGGCTAGATGCGACAAGGATGGAGATACAAACGCAACGATGTGACAACGACGATGCGGCTGGGCACTCCGTGCAGCGTACAGTGCTCAACTGTACGCGGTCCGCTGGGGTCACATACAACGATGCCAGCATCAGCGCACACGCAGAGGACACGTATGATTATGCACAATTGCGGGTGAATCAGCATTTTTTTTTCTTTTCAACAAAGTCTAAAGGCTTTGCATTGACGTGTGCATGTACCTGTGTGACGATAATCGATGGCCCGGGGACGCGGCCGTCAACGCTCCTTTGTCAGACTCTACCGGCAAGTTCAGGGCCAGGTCATCGCCGTCCACTACAGTAAAAACTAATGAATATAAATGCAAATCCTAGTTTCAAGCATGTGGAACATGCGTAAAAAATAACATCACCCCGATTTACATAAGATCGACTCGATAGTACAACTACACCTGAATTACGGCGAAACATCATCCACGATGGACAGCCAAGGGGACAAAATTTAATACTTTAAAAATTGTTTCTTGATATTTTCCCTGCCGTGAAGTGTGACTAGCACTTAACAGCCAAATAACTCAGCCATAGGCTTAAAGGTGCGTTTAAACAAAGCGTTCATTGTGTACCAAAATCATATAGCCAAAGATAAAGAGGCCACGCGAAATGAAAATAACCCAATCTCATCATACTATAGACCCTTCTTTTGTTTACAAACTGCGACCAACATTTTGCATGGAGGGCCAAAATTTGATTGGCAACAACTTCAGGTTTTAGTCATAAAAACACTTGCTTTATCATTAAAAAGCAGAGATGCTGTGCTTTTCCTTAGGGCTTAGTGGTCGTGCTGTGATGGCTTTGCGATGTTTTTAACCCTTGGTGAATTAATTACGTCGCCTGCAACCACATGCACACTTTGCCAACCAACTATTGGCAAAAACTATCACTGAACCGTGGCAAAAGAAAGTTCTGCTTCATAGAGACATGCCACTTCACCTGATTATCACAGCCTTTGCTATTCATGTTCTCCAGATCGATAACGTCATTTTTACAGAACTATTATTCAGATTATTCAGATCAATGTAATGTTAAGCGCTGAGCTCGTTGTGAAGTATGCTGCTGCGAGATTTCTGAAAAGACCTTTTTGACACTGGGAAAGCATATTCTTTTTCAAACATGAAACAGCGTATATATCACTGGGTTTACGTGCAACGTTTCTTCGTTTCTGCTCTCCCGAAAAAAAGTATGATTTTTTCCCCAAATGTTTCTGTTTTCAACACTCCAGAAGGGTAGAAAGGTCTTCACTTTTCTGAAATGGCTGTTCCGCAAAATCTGTATTCGACGATTTTTGTTTGACACGCTTTTTCAAACATATGCGCAAGTGTAGTGAAACGATAAACAAAAATTGTCGTATTCCAGAAAAATCCAAGATATGTCAGATTCTGCACCTGCATCTTTTGTATTTGGTGTTTTCCCTAATTCACAGATATCTCTTGCTAGAAACTCTTCCATTAGACTTTAGCGCCTCCTGAATGGTAAAACCGTCTTTTGGATTTCCACCAGTTAAAAAATCAGTTTGCCTGTAACTTCAGTTCCAGCCAGTTACTGTTGGTGTTGTCTGCAAACTTTTTGACCTACGAAAATGGTTCTTTCGTTTATCCTGTGCGTTTGTATTCAAACATTCAGAGAGTAAAATATCCCATACGGCTCGACACGCTTGAGATAGCGACTTCATAAAGCCAAGAGTTTAGCAGACAGCACTGACATTATTACAATGCCTACGTAAAGTGTACTGAGAAGCATTGGGAACTGCTGTACGATGTAACTTCGAATAGAAAATAGCGAAATACCGCATGGTATCAACTTCATTCACAGGTAGGCCATATTGACCTAAGGGTAAGATTAAGTTTTCATATGGGGAACCTGGGAATAAAATTGAAAGCAATAGAAGTTTATTACAAACAAATGTCAAATTACGTTGATGCATAATTCAAAAATTGTGATCGATTATATGCAAATGTTGCCACACTTAAAAAACGAAAGTGAGGTTCAGAACCCAAAATAGTCTGGGACCACCAAATTGAAAACATTACACTGAATACGATTCTCAGAACACTATCAAAAATGGCTTCCCTGTAAACAAGGTCTTAAGTATTCCGAACTCAACTGGATAGTTGTTGGTCCAATCGTTGTCCTTGCGGCTAGCAAACGTACAGAAGGCGGCAAGGCCTTGTGGTAAAATCTTTGCCAATCCTTTTGTCAGTACATTTAAAGCCCCTCCCTTTTTTGAAAAGGAAATTAAGTTTCATTGCGCAGATTGTGTCAAAATGCCCAGTTCACGAAACAGATGTACACTGTGTATATGCAAAAGTTTACATCATCACGAAATTTTTAAGGCTTTTTATTTAATTGTTCTCCCTATTTAACTGGTATTGAATGCATTTTGGTTGTTGGGAAGTATAAAGAATTCTTCACTTATCCCCTTTAAGTGTTTCCCACAACGAAAAAAGTTGGGGGGGATTGAACAGCGTACTCCCCATCTTCCGGTATTTACGCAAATGAAAATGCCCATCGACGTGGCCAGTTTTACTAGCAATGGTCCAATGTGAACCGAATATTTGACGCTCTCGCATGCCTATGCAATTCACGTTAACTGTCAACTTTCATTACATTTTTATTTCATGGTTTAATAAACCATGCTATATATCGCACAATACAACCGCAGCATAATTTAGAAAGTGGATTAAAAGTATCACCATTCACCAAAGCTAATCGACTGCAACCCAGAGTAGAACCGAACCGTTAATATCATTAGTCACCACTGATATACAAACCAGAACGTACATAAAATTCGCGCATGAATGCGACGATATTGGAATAAGGAAAATAATATATAAACTGTGAAACTTAAAAGTGAAACTACATGATTAATTAAACTATAATAAATCCTTCTAACACGAGTGCTTGGGGAAACTGGGTAGGGATGTTGACAGAAAACACCGCCAATATACAATCACTTGAACTTGAGTTTTGAGAACATCATAACATAGACATAGAACTTTTTATCATTCTTTCTTGATCGAACTTTACGCTATTTCGTGGTGTGTAATAGGTTAGATACCATTGCAATTGGGGTTTTGGCACAGTGCGGCCAAGGGGCTAGAGAGTTTAAGACTGTGGAAACTTGATTGAGGCGTTAATTGAGGCAAAAAAGGGATGACAAATGGATTATAACCATCTCGACGGTGATGATCAATAAAATATTGCAAAAAGGGATGGTGAAAATAGACGATAAATAACTACCCTTGTAATGCATCTATAGCCTAATCTTTAATTTTACCTTAATACATGTAGCACAAATATAACATTCAATTTTGCAATAGGAAAATAAAACTCTGGCTTTTTACGTGCCTACGTAGTTTACGTTAAGTTGGTTGCAGCAGACCCGTATCAGGCGTATAGGAGGAACGTTGCACCATGGAGGTTACAGTTGAAGTTCAGAGTTTTTAGCTCATTATTTCAAATTCTGCCGGTCAGAATTTTTGCTTGCCTGTTTATCCCACTCCCTGGCACTATACGAATCAAGTGTTAAAGGCCTGCAGATATTATTTTCAGATAGTAAAACTCACCAGTTATGAATGACTCCGGAGCTGAGAATAATATGCATTATGCTTCGCTTTGATTCTTCACTTGTGTAAGCGGCCGAGGACGCTTACACAATTACAATCATGCCACGTGCGGTGTGTATGTCCCGCTTAATTCATGAAATTACTTCCCTGTGCTGTGAATGATCGAATCACGGAACTATTAAACACCTCAACACTGAGCCTGGTGTGCGAGTCTACTGCTTCCTTTTGACTTCCTCCTCGTGCCCAATTGTCAATGGAAAGATTGCAATTGGTGCGACGAAGGTCCCCACTTGGACCCTCAACTGGAAAACAGAGCGTATGTACAGTACATGTACAGTGTACTACATTGTTGCTCTACGACTACTGCAATCAGCACTGCGGTATGTACATGTACATGTATATACCGCTATATAAAACAAAGAATTACAGTACATGGCCTTCGATCGGCCTGACATGCCAGATAGCCTTCAGGTTTCACGTTGAAATTCGAGCATGGGTGGGTGACAAGCATAGGTGTACCGGATATGAATGTAGGCTTAGGCCGACCATGGAGATTCCTTCCTCCAATGGGCCGACAAAGCTTGCAATATGAGAGCTATTATATTTATTTATTTATTTCCACCAAACCCCCATAATTGGAGAGAACAAATTCGATACACTAAAACCAGGTAAAAATACTGCATGATAAAGCGACAATTGGTATACACTCAATTTAATACTCATGTGACAAAAAACATAATTCCCAAACGGTAGAGGACGGCTGGCCAGTTTATTCAGATAGGTAAAGGAAATTGTCAAAACACTGGAGTTGTCGGTAGAACTAGAGTTGTCAATACTTACGCAAAATCTTGCATTTGCAGTAAAATCGTGCCTGCGGTCTTTGCGCTTCCTTCACATACTTTCGTGAAACAATAGCCGTCAATAGCGTTCTTGGGATAGAGCCATCGGTACGAATCAGATAGTTGAATGTAATAATTTATATTATGCCCCAAACTACAGCCAGAAACCTCGACAATTCTGGCTTCACTGCGATCTCCACGTGATGCCCTTTGAACGGGTGAAGCAGGGCGCCCTCCAGAAGTCAGGTTACCTGAGGTCAAAATAACCGGTTGGATAATTATTTTTCCCCGTTCATACTCGTACTCAAAGTGTTGAATGTGCGCTCTCAAATTAATTACAATATAGCATGCGACGTCAGACATGTGGGTACGTTCGATATCTGCAGCTTCTTCATTTCCCAGCACGTACGCACGAGTAAGGAATAAAACCGGCGAAATGGCTTCCCTCAGAGTTGGAAAATCAGCAGTTTTGTTGGCAAGAAGATGCTTTCTCAGGCCAAATATCAGAACAATGGCAGCCGGAGGTGGTAAGTCTCTATTCAACGTGTGTAGATGTGACTGGGAAATACTTTTGAGAGTTTTACAAACAGTTCTAGGCTACCTGGACTCGGCAAACTTCAACTCACTTGCACGGCCATTATGTCATGCATATATGTACCGTCGTACTCGTAGCTCTACTAAGTTTTTATTATTTTGGATGGGATCGTCACACTAACGCTCCACGCCTGTTCATTTAGTAAGATTAAAATGGTTCTAAAGACTCACCAAAATACCTCTATCACCACCTACAGCTGGCTTCCATAAATGCTAACGTGAAACGGTTGGGGCTTCTCATGTCAATGCTATATCTGACTTTTAGGCCTACCTTTCAAATGTGTGTAGCGAGATTTAGAATCAACAATAACTCTATGGGTGAAACATGGTCCTCCCAGAAACAAGCATGAGTGGCCTATACGTGATCTTGGCAGAAGACTCGTTGATCATGACAGTTGGCATGGTTGGGAGTGCTACCATTACCAACGACTGTTCCCTTGTTAATACGTCTGGTGCCCCGACTACATTTTTGCCTCTCTTGAAGTTTCGTTAGAGGACCATGTTCGGCCATAGAGTTATGGTTGATTCTTAATCTCACTACACGCATTTGAAAGGTCCCGACGGCGAAAAGTTCATGTACTGTGCATGTGTCGAGGGAAAACGGTCAGAGTTCGACAGATTTTGAAGTCAGAAATAGCATTGAAGCCCCAACCATTTGACTTTGGCATTTATGGAAGCCAGTAGGTTGTGATACAGGTATTTTTGGTGAGTCTTTAGAATTTTTGAGAACCGTTTTAATCTTACTAAATAAACAAGCATGGAGCGTTAGTATGACGATCCCGTCCAAAAGAGGAATACTTACACTCCACTTAGTAGAGCTATGCTGTTGTTACATTCCGAAGTTTTTGGGTATGAAGAAGTTTCCCACTGCCCCAGCAGATACTGAGTTAGGCTACTCGATGCTCGAAAGAAATGGGATTTTAACAAGTAAGAGTTCCATTAACGGACATCACTTCTGTTCGCACTGATTTATAAATAAATAAATGGCATCAGAAAATGATATCATGGGGCCTAATAGTAACAGTCTTCTACTTCCAGACTGCTCTTACATGTAAATTGAATAAGTTGAAAGGCAAATTTAGCAACAAAATTTAATTGAAACATTTTACTTAGCCTACAGTAGCCCACTTGGTCAAAAAACACTTGTGCTTAGGTTTACATGTAAGCCTTCTACTGAGAAGGTTCAGGCCATTCTTGTCTCGTATGAATTGTCCTCGGGCATGTCAGGGTGTCGAGTGATACCTGTGTAGAGTTGTCAGTTGGGAATTAGTTGGCAAGGGGGCGATTCGGTAAGGGGCGAGTCCAATCGTCAGTTGAACATGTAGGGACTATGTATTCCAGGCGCTGATCATGCTGAGAGGAGTTTATTGGTGGACAAACTTTGAATATGTTGAAAAGTAAAAATCGAGGGTGAGCAGGCCCTAGTCTGGGTATTGCTACAATGGACTCTAATACACTTGCAGCCATTAATTACTAGGCCAACTTGTAGATAGGCCTGGGGCTACTTTTTTAAAAGTTGCACAGTACTATAGTATGTTATAGTATTCAAAGTTTGTTTTTTAATTGTTTTGGTGTCATTCATCTTTGCAGGAATTCCTGAACACTCAGAGCACGTAACAGGTCTTGAAAAGAAAGAACTAGAAATGATAAAAGCTGGCAATCCCGTAAGTATTGGATGCATAACGTGCATGCAAACAAAAGGACGAGACTAGTACCCCGTGACCGAAAGCAGCAGATACCTGAATTGTCAATCTCCATGCGCAGAACCTGTTTATTTTGGTCTGTCATTTCAATAGCTTTACAAATCAATGAAGCTACACACAGGTCCCTGATCCCTCCATTGAAATGTTTGGGGGAAACCAGTCTTCACCTTGCGGGCTACAGTACCTGTTTATGGTGAACTTCATTAATATGGAGGATTGTGAAATCATTTCTAAGACCCAATTGCCTATCATTGTTTCATCCAGCCACATGCCCCCAGCTGCCTTCAGGACAGGCTAAAACACATTGATACAGGCAGATGTAGCTCATTTGAGATTTACAATGCCCCATTTTGTAATAGAAATTTGTACCGAAAAGATAGATACTTTTCTTGTTAAGTTGTAATGGCGAATGAAGTTAACATGTACTTTTCCTGGACTTTCAAACTTTTGCAGCACTTTATTCCAAGTACAGTTAATAATTTATTTTACGTGCTGAAGTGAGGATTTATGTTTCCTAGAACTCGCTTGATCTTGATGTGAAGTTTTTGGTTTCAAAAGGTGGATTTATGCTTCTCAGGAGACTTCAATTGTCCACCTGACCAGTTGCCAGGGAACGCTCATTCATCTCTGTAATGACATGCCCACGTTTTCCTCATCTGTTTAGCAATTCAAAAAATGTAAACTGAACTGCTCCCTCTTCTCAGGATCCCTTTGAGCTTCAAGTGAAGCGGGTACCAGCCGGCACGAGGGACAAGCCCGTCAAAGTAACGTCCGTCTTTGAGAAGCGAATCGTCGGATGCATCTGTAAGTCTGCCAATTTGAGAAATTTGTGTCACCCATTCTTTTTTTTCATTCTTGCCGTGTATGCGTAGAGGTACATTTACGCTAAAGCTTCTTTGTGGACCATTTTGATCAGAGAATGCTTTGCGGCGTATGCATCCCTCATTCAAGAAATTGACGCCGGAAAAAGGAACTTGGCCATACAGTAAGGTTCATGAAGGCCACGTGTGCAGAGTTTACTGAATAACGGGAACTTTTGACAACAAAACTAATAGTACGTGTGCTCGAACTTTCAGTGGACATCAAAGCCCCACTGAAAAAAAAGTGGCTTGGTTCTCTCTGCCTCGATTTTGCAAAATCCAACCAAAGCTGGCAGATTCTTGAAGGTGTAAAGATGGTGATTTTCCTTCAAGCTGGAAATATTAACCCTCTGTCAGTCACAGTTAAAACTTCAATTCACTTTGCCCTGCTGCACGATACGCACAGGCCAGTCACCAACTGCCAGATCTTAATTCTAGCTGGTGCTGTGACCGGTCAAAGTCAATCAGCAGACACACAGCAGAAGGCAGCTACTAGGCAAAGCGGGCTTCTCACTCATCAACAGTCAAAGCACAGCTATGTTGAGTTACCTCGCGAGTCTCAGCCTGTCGATTCTGCTTTATTTGGGTGGGGACTCTCAACCTTTTTCACTGAGAGGACAACTTTGTCCGGAATAGATGTTTGCATAGGATGAATGATTTGACAACGGCCGTTCCTTTCCAATATAACAACAGCCATCAAACGGTCGTTGAATCACCTCCGCCTGCCATTTTGAAAAAGTTTTGATCTTTTCTTCGTCAGAACTGGACAGAAACTCTCGTACGTGTTCTTCTCTCACAGCCAAACACATTTTTTTATTACCTTCTACAACAATGCTGTATGATTCTCAAATAAGCCTTGTTAAGTTCAGTAATGGTAAGGCTTAACTGAACATAACATAACCTCTTAGGCATTTTTACTAAGAACTATCTTCAATCCTCCAAAATCCTCCGATTTTCGACATGAAAAAGTTGCATTCAGCCTCAATCCTCCAAAAGTTCTTGAAAATGTTTTTGGAGCTGTGTCTACTGCCTCAATCCTTCAAAATCCCCCGTCATTTCCTGTCATTATGTTGAGGCAGTGCGAATGGCATTCTTGAGCAGTGCGGTTGATTCGAAAGGAATATCGGGCTGAAGTTTTGCTTGACTGAGCGAAAACAACACAAGGTCTAACCCACGACCTTCACTCATGGCATCCTTTGCGATCAGCCACGCACATTTTTCCATTCACCCTCAATCCTCCAAAATCTTTCAAAACCGTCCGAAGGATTTTGGAGGATTGAGGACGGTTAGGGTTATATAAACAGCTCTGCCTCTGCCCCTTCTCCCAGGTGAAGAAGAGCAAACCTTCATCAACTGGATGTGGCTACATTCCGGCGAGCCCCAGCGATGCGACTGCGGACACTATTTCCAGCTAGAGAAGACAGAGGCTATATAATCTGCCAAATAGCCCCCTCCCTCTCGCCTTTCCCTGGTTGTTATTTTGTAAAGAGATGTAGAGTGTGCATGAGTGGGGTTGAGACGTGATGATTTAATACAATAGTTGTTGGCTTTTGATAGGATTGGTTAGCTCTCGAGGGTGCCATGCTTGAAATGAACTCAACCCACTGATGTTAACTCCTCCTTAGAAGTTTACCTGCAAGAAGTTAGCCTTGTAAGAAGCCAGGTTTACCAACATTCACTTTGATTCTTAATACTTGTTTTCGTGCTCATAAAACTGTAATGGTGCATAGTCCACAGATACCCCTCAACGGTGCCAAAGAGAAATGCGGAGGTCGAAAAGCTCTCCGATGTGGTCAGAAATATCAAATGCGTGAATGCAAGCCACTGAACAATGGCTGATCTGCATTCCATAGACATCCAGATTTCTGCAGGCTGCAGCCACATTGAAATACAGCCTTGGACAGAAACTGGAATGCCGTTACCGCTGCATGCCTGGCAACCTGTGCAGACACTGAGTTTGTGCACATTCTGACGAAAACTAGTGGCACGTACATGTACTAGGCATTTGAAGGCAGCATGGCATCTTCTGTCCTGGCATTGAGTTTATAAGGTTGGCAGCGAGTATGTAATCGGTTAAGCACCATATATTTTTACTGAGCTTTTAAGTACAGATGCTTTTTCTGTCAGTGGATACTTTTCATGTATAGTACCCTCAAGAGATGATGATGACGTAACAAAACATCAGACAGACAGGACGTACCAGAATTATTCTTTTCCGATCAGAATTGGGCAGACTTGTTTGTAGGCCAAAATGTAAGTGATTTCAATTTACAGGTAACAAGCAGACTCGTCATGCTTGTGAGGCAAACAAAACCACTTGTTTCCAGCCCAAACAAGTACGACATTGGGTTAATTTATTGGCAAGTGCTTTCAATTCCCTGCATGCATGGGTTAATTACACCGGTTGAATGGATGGTTACCCAAATCAATACATGTATGCCGTATACATTATGTCACTGAGATGACTACATGACTGCGGAAATATCACCTACATATATTCCTAGCAAACTTAGAGCAATTATTCCAAATTACAGATATTATATACATAGACATCTGTTGATCCAGTGTCGTCATTTGATATTTGTTGAGAAATTTTCACTCCATCGGATTAAGTTTACAGCATGAAATGTGTAGTTGGTGTTTACTTAATATTGAATGGTTGTTCCTTTTGGATCATTTAACATAAAAATGTTTGGTCGATACCACATAGCAGTGCAAATGTGTGTGCAGCCGTCATTGTGATTTTATGGTGTGGAATTCTTAAGTTACAATAAAAAGTATTGAATAATATCCAAAGACATTTCTCTGCTTTGTCAGTTTGTTATCATGATTGTATTTAATCCTGAAAAGTGGCGCACTGTTAAAAATACATGTACATGTATATAACTCTGCAAAAACTTGACTTCAGGGGATTATAATCCATCAAAACCTAACAAGGTTTTTGGAGAGAAAGGTATAAGTTACAAACTATTATTCAAACTTTTAAAATACAAATATGTGTGTAAAAAATTCAATATAAATATCCCTACTCATACCGGCCCCTCCCCAAAATGCCCCGGCCCCTCCACGAAAAAAAATTCGTGGCTATCCCCTTTAAAATTGAAACGAAAAGTGATCTTCTGGCCATACTAATCTTGAATTTCCAGTGAAAAACGGAGGCCAACCTCTTGACGAGAGTCAACAGGCGGCGCTATTTAGGTCTGATTTTACAGTGTTTTCTATGGGCGCGTATTTGGTGTAGTGCAACCTCCATTATTCAAGTACACGTAGTCTTGGGGGCGCTATTGCTTGTAAGACAATCAGGATCAGTACTACCAACTCTACATTGGGCGCTATTGTTTTCATTACCTGCTGGCTTCAGCTCAATTGAGAGCGCCACTTTTTTATCAATAGAGGGCGCTAAATATGTAGTCAACAGAGGGCGCTATTAAATTTTTCAATAGAGGGCGCTAAATATTTAAAGCGTCTATTATATCTGTGGTTAGTTAAGTTCGACGTTCCCGCGGCATTCAAACTTACTTCAATACTTCACAACTGGTCATGCAAGAGGCTAAACGAGCATGTCGCTGTAGTGTTACTGTTAACATGGAAAGCGTTTTCTGTCTGACAGTGACACGTCCAACTCTAAATTTGTAAAGGTAGGCTAATTAGTAGGCCCTGAATACATTTCAGTTTGAAGTTTTTCAACATGAGTTTTGCCAACACCTGAGAGGCTGTAGACCCGTAAACACTAAACAGGGCCCGACGAAGTACTCCTCCGTCGTATACGGAGGAGTATTCGTCCGGCCCTGCTTACGGGTCTAGCCAACACTGTATGAGGCCTGATGAATGTCACGTAAAAAGTCATGAAAGTGAAATTCGAAACGCATAGGCTGTTAAGGCCTACAGTAAATGCATGCATCCCATGATGTAGGCCTATCACCTGAAAATACCCACTGACTAGGCCTAGTATTTGTATCACTGACTATTGTTGATGTAGCGTTATGCTACCCTTATTTGACACACTTAAATTTTTTTGGCTTCTATTGTCAGATTGTGTCTGAGCGATATTTATTTCAGCTCAAATTTCACAGTTAGTGAAACGTCATCAAACTACTAAAGAACCTATTCTAATTCATAAATCTCAATTTAACGTAGATGCTACGCTGTACAAGGTTTGGATGAAATTTTATTTCCGTCCAGTTTTCACACATTCATTCAGCTGAATTGGAGCCCAACTTTCGGCCGCCTACAGTTTGGATATCAAACGAATTTTCAAAAAATTGCAAAAACAGAAACATGAGAAAGCAGTCCTTGGTAGCGTCTTTTGTTTGCACAAGAGTCAACTGGCTTATTGTAAAGATAGACCATGTCCAAATCAACTGGCTTAGGCTGACAGTTGTACATAAGTGTATAGGAAATGAATGCAGCCACTCACCTGTGGCTTACCTATAGTTGTCTCACTTCTAGCCTCAGCCATATTTCTTGGACGTTGCCTTAAACCCCAAAACTCTTTGAAGTGGCCTGTTCAAAAAGTACAACATAGTTTT